AAACCAGTTACCGTATCTGGGTCAAGGGCAGAAGTTAATCCAGGGGGAGGGATCTAGCAAGTAATAATTCATTTCAAAATAATCCAATAGAATAATATAAAACAATAGAACAGCCCAACATAATCAATATTTATATGACCACTATGTATATAATATCAAATCAATATATAAATAAAACCACATATCAAATATAAGAAACAGGTCTTAAGGCGTAACTGCAACATGCTTGCGTCCAGAGTGACACGAATTATAAGGATGGTAACCGAGTCCGTTACAGTGATCTCCATTGTATGTTGGCCTCCGAAAGCATGTTAAGAGCTGAATAGTTAGCCTAAGAAACTGCCTTAAGAGGCGTAAATGAGTTTAGTCTGAGTGTCGATGAGCATTCTGCGAGCAGCAGTACCCCAAGAACTTCAAGATCTGGGGATCTGAGGCAAAGAGAAATGGACATCAGGAAGGCTAGGGATCCGTAAATGTAAAATAATTAATGTAATTAATATAGTAAAATAACAGAAATAAGGACGAAAATAGTAAACCAACTCCCAGACTCATAATAAATTACTACGGACGAGATGGAAATAAAAATTGAATGACAGTACTATAAATTAGTATAGCAACTACTGAATATACACATACACATATATATATACATATATACACATACATATACATATGCACACACACACACATACATTCACAAGCAATAAATATTACCTTACAAATATAACGAAGTTTTCACTAAGAAAATGTAAAAGAGAGACATAAGCACTAGAAGGATAGGGAAAAGCACAAAATACTCCTTCCAAAGTACTAGGTCGCAGGACCATTAGCCGGCTAACAGGGCGGGCCCGCCCAGCTAAGGGCTCCACAGGGGTCCCGGCTAAGGGCGTAACGGACTGGCCCAGCTAATGGGCTTAGTACGGGCCGACCGAGGGCATGGCGAAAATTGCCAGAGAAAACGATAACAAGTAAAGCAGAGGGAGGGTAGAAGTAAGGCGACTAAAACCCGGACCTAATAATAAAGAACTAAAATAAGTAGTAGTATGATACAGTAGGAACTGTATAAATAGATAAATAAGTAAATGTCCCACACTGGGGAGGAGGAAGTAAGCAGGGAAACCCTAACTTTAACAAACCAACAATAACGTAGCATGCACAACACGAACACTAGTGGTCAACAAGGGCAAAATAAGGGCTTAACAAACAACAGTTGCCAACTGTAAACTGTAAAATCCTGCCTCTGAACATCAGCAGCTGGACATTGGCAACTGGTGCATCAACATCTGCCAAAGTATGGGCCAATAGGCCTTCTGCAGTTGCCTTTGTTCTTATGTTCTTAAAGATAAATAAGTAGTGGCAACTGGCCACCAGGGAAAAACTTCGGTTATAAGTAGAAGTCCAACTGCAAGACAATTCACCATTTGGTCACCACTTGGTCCGGGAGACATCTCCCGTCACGCTGGGTGCAGTTGCGCCTCCACAGATCTCCAGTATCATCTTTTGATACTGGTAATGGCTCGAAAGGGCCACCACTTACGGGCTATTCATGCCCGTGCCACCTCTTGGGTGGCTTAATCTTCATCAATCATCAATCAATCAAGACAATTAGGGACCATATAGAACCTGGGAGCCAACAAGGGAATGGAGAGTATCTTCGGCCGCTGCCGAAGATACAAAATTAGCGGCAACGGGCCAAGGGGGAAACTGCAGCAGTAAGGGAAGTGCGACTGCAAAACAGATCATGCTCAAAATAAGGCTGGAATGTAACTCTTTAGAGAAAACGGGATTAATGCATGAAGCTGAAATAAATTACAATCAAATACAATAAACTGAAAGGAGTGCTAACAGGCACAACGTCGGCTGGAACGCTTCTGCTGGAACTTCGGGGGCTGGCGCGTCGGCAGCTAGACCCTTGGGAGCTGGAATGCAGTAGGATGGGCATTATCAGTTGGGACCGCTTCAACTGGAACATCAGGAACAACTTCAGCAGTAGCATGGGAGCTGGTCCAACAACCGCTGGAACGCCAGCAGCTGGACCATGTTCCAACTGAACAGCAGCAAGCTGGGACAGCAACAGCTGTACTCACAGCAGCTAGAACACTGACTGCCGGGAATGTCAGCAGCCGGACCACCAAAAGCTGCAGCAGCTGGACACCAAAATTGAGCAACAACGTAGGAAGAGTGGCGGCTCAGATGCTAGGGCAGACGGCTGGACCAGCTGCAACAGACCCAACCAAGCATCGGCCGCTAGAACACAGTGACACGTCGCAGGAAGAACATCGGCCGGACATCAACCCCAGAACGAAGGCAGCTAAGACGTCGGTGGCTGTGAAAACCTTCCGGGCTACACCGGGCAGACAAAACGTCTGGAGAAACCAGCGGCCTGGGAGGCCGCAGTATATTCCGGGCTACACCGGGCAGACAACACGTCTGGATAAACCAGCGGCCTGGAAGGCCGCATATTTATATGACCAATATAAATATAATACTTGAATAACATCGCCGGCTTAACTCATCACAGGAAGAACGTTGGCTGGAGAGCAGCCCCTGAACGCGGTCAGCTAAGACTGCAGTGGCTATGACAGCTTTCCTGGCTACATTGGGCAGACAAAAACGTCTGGATAAACCAGCGGCCTGGGAAGTAGCAATATCTTCCGGGCTACACCAAGCAGACAACACGTCGGATAACCAGCGGCCTGGGAGGCCACACATGTCTGGATAAACCAGCAGCCGGGAGGCTGCAGATTCTTTCGGGCTACACCGGGCAGACAAAACGACTGGAAACGTTTACTGGTACTGGTAAACTAAACTTGTACTGTCTAGCTGTCAGACTTAATAACTTAATGACAAAGTCAAGAAAACAAGTATAAAGGTAAAACGATAAGTAAGATGACATGCACTTAAGCAATGCATAACTAGCAATAAATTGCTGAAGGAACTAATCATAATACGAGTCTAAGATAAACTTAAAGGGAGAGGCATGAGGCCCGAACACAGCGTCTAGGACATCCTAGCTGACTTTACTTAACTTAAAGGTGAAGCATAAGTTAAACAAACATAATTGTAAACCAGTAAAGTAAAAACATGCAGCAAGAGCGATGTAAAATGCAGGAAATTTGCAGAGGAAACTAAACGTAAATGCAGGGCCAGAATAAACTTAAGCAAGAGGCAAGGGCCCGATCCCTGCAACTATCACATCCTAGCTGACTTTACATAATAACTTAAAGGCAAAGCAGAAGTTAAACAAACAAGTGTAAAACCAGCAAAGAAACATGCAGCTTGACACTGCATAAAATTCATTAATAAATTAAGGAAACTTATGGAAAAACAAGTCCATGAAAACTTAAGACTAGGGGCCAGAGGCCTATGACAGCAGTTAGCAAACCTAGCTGACTTTACCTAATAACTTAAAGGCAATAAGCAAAAGTTAAACAAACCTAAATGTAAAACCTGCAAAAGAAAACATGCAGCTTGACACTGCATAAAATTCATTAATAAATTAAGGAAACTTATGGAAAATACAAGTCCATGAAAACTTAAAGCTAGGGGCCGGAGGCCTGTGACACAGGCCGACTCGCTGAGCAGCAGTGAGCAGCGTTTTGTAAGAGAGCAGCTGCTGGCTTGTCGGGAAGAGGGCCACGCAGTCTGCGTCCGAGTTTATATAACCTCGGCTCGTTGCGCGCACAGCTTGGGGCAGTTAAAGTCAGCTTCCAGACATACGTTCTCTTCCCTCAGAAAACCCACCGTTTTTGGGAAAAACAGTGTTTTTTTCTGCCCGAAACGCTGGGCGTACAAGTGACTTTACAAGATTGTAAATACCATGCTATGGATTCTCACAAACCCAATGTACCTTCTTGTATATAAATAAATAAATAAATAAATAAATAAATAAATAAATAAATAAATAAATTTCCGCTCAGAAACATGTTAGACGATCATTTCTTTCCCAGCTCCCGTGTGCCACTCTGACTGTGCGCCACTGTGACGTCACCTTCCTGCTTCCTGACGCCTCATTCGTCAAAGACTGCAAAATGCGTCTCGAGTCTTTACGGTGTTTATTAAGAAGTCATAGGTCTTTTCCTACCGGCAGTTAATACTTAAAAGTTGTTCAACAAATAAAGCGAATATACTGTATGAAATTTTAAAGTGTGGAACGAAACAGGAAATCCATAATACAGCCGCACTGTATGAACGGTCAATGGAAATGTTATGGGTCAGAAAGGTGACCCCGTGTGCTTGTAATAAACTATAGTTGTAACCTTTATCCACCCAGACCACTCAAAATACTCACATTACCACTTTCTGACAAAATAGCTAATGATAGACCATTGAATTTCCACAGACTGGCTACTGAACAACTCTCACAATTAAATTAATTGGTCCGTTGATCCCTCTTAACTGAAGGTCAGCATCCTTGAAAAATTAACGCCAAATTTCATTTCACACTTTTATCAGGCCTGACGCATTTGTTCTAAGGTATAACAACATTATCAGAGGTAGAGTGGAAGTGAGTACAAAAGGGTAAACGCAACAATAAATATTCCATGTGAGATGTGACAAGAGGTGGATACCCTGTCGAGATCGATTGATATATAATTATTAAGGCACCCAAGAGGTTTCCCGGGCATCAGTGGCCTGTTGCTTGCCAAGAGGACCAGGCAATCATATAATGTATTCTTATTAGTCGCCTGGGTCGGTAGCTGGAGTGTAAACTGGCAGTTTTCTCTTGATCTTGTTGAGCTTAGATCTTGTTGTCAGTGACGTAACATAGTTGGAGTATTATCGTGAATGTATTGTTATAATACTTTATATTTATTTTTCTTTGTCAGTCTGCTTGAAGATTTATTAAATAAAAGATCTTGCCGTTATGTGTCCTATTAACATGCAGTTATTTTTTTTTTTTAATTATTACAAATTTTTCTCTAAGTAGCCATGTTTCTGCAAGCTATAGTTGTCATTGTATATTGTTTGTAAAACCTTTTAACTCTTTTTTTCCCCAGTCATGCAACGGCCTAACATCCCGTACAGCAAGATAGTGAAGCTCCTGTTTCTCCAGGACAACGGCGACAAGACCATGGCCGGAACTGACTCAGCTGAAGGTGACTACCTTCAGCTGAGCATTGAAGCAGCGCGTGACGCCAAGGACGCTTTCCTTTCCGTCCTGCAAGACCAGAAATTCAGTTTTGTTTTTATTATGGAGTTGCTGCAGAAGCGCATCGAGGAACTGGAGAACTATCAGATCATAGAATTCGAAGAAGACAATGAGGCCGCCAACTGGTCAGTAAGGAAGCAAGACGAGGACCTGCTCACTCTGGCCGAGATTTGCCATTACCTCACCACCGATTACCAGGACCTGGAAGATGACATACCACTCAAAGAAGACCCCGAGGACCTGCCAACTCTGGCTGAGATTTGCCGTTATTTCAATATCGATTACCAGGGCCTGGAAGATAAGATTAAGGAAGTCCAGGAAAAATTATCCCTCACGGAAGATGAAAAGAAAGCCAGCTTTTTCATATATGCGGAGAATTTAAGAATGAGTCGCATCTGTGATCGTCTGACGTCCGCCCTCGTCCTACAGCTGTTTGATACTGTTAAAAGAGATATAACACTCAGCAAACATATCGATCAAAATCTTGATATTCCGTTGGACAAGCTAAACAGGACCGAAGGCCTCAAGGAGGTATTATTCTTCTACATGGTTAGAGTCTTTGAGGAACACGACAAACTTAACCGTATTTACACAGACAAGCTGGAAGACCTCCTGGAAAAAGTTGGCAAAGAGACAGAAGATGAGGATGACCAGCGCACTATCAAGAGTGTGATCAGCAGTCTGAGTGAGTACCCCATGGAGTGTCGTCCAGCGGGCTACTGCGTCGTCTTCTGCGTCACCAACGGCAGGGAGGGCGCTCAAGGGGAAATAAATAATGTCAAGAACGTCTTTGAGAAATTCCTCGGCTACATAGTCCACGTTGAAGAAAATCCAACTCTCAAGAAGTTGGAAGAAAGGAAAAAGGTGCTGGAGAAGCCCAAGTACCGCTTCTATGACTCCATTGTGTTCTGGTTCATGGCCCATGGCTCAGAGACCGACCTTAAGTTAGCCGATGGCAAGAGTTATCAACGGGAGGAGTTCATCGATAAATTCTCAAGGTTGGACAACTTCAGAAAGAAACCCAAAGTATTCTTCATGGCATCATGTCGAGGCAGTGGTACCATAAAAGTCGAAGAGAGAGGTAAGAGTTCGATTCCATATTTTGCTCCCTGCTACGCACTCCAGACCCCATGAGTCTCCCTGTTTATGCATTTTAAAACATGTATGCAGTCTTTCTCCACTGCTTCCCGTTGTAGTGTTTCCATCCATTACTACAACACTGAAGCAATTCTTTCTTACGTTTCTTTATTTTATTTGGATGTTAGTTAATTTAGTTCATTTATTATACACCCCATACCCATCTTGTGGGCGGTAGTGGAAAGGGTTACAGAGGCACATAATGGGCTCAGGGACTGAACCCCACAATTCATTTAGCTAAACAAGTTACAATCTTGATGAGCTAGTTACAAACTATAATATAAGTCGTCACATCAACAATGGGTTCGAGATCGACCTCAAGTATAGGTTTTAAATTAAGCAACTGACATATGTGGCGAGCTAGTGTCACAATTTATATGTTTGTCCTGCACACCGCCCCCCATCCAGTGGGCAGCGGTGGATAGGTTACAATCACTCAGTTACTACCTACAGTTAGCAAACTGGGGATATTTGGCTAAAATTTCTGGTAGCAGATCATTTTGAATGAAATATTTACACATCGCTGGAACATTGGTTATAGAATTGTCTCTAAATTCACGTATCTTTTCGCACTCCATCACATAGTGACGGAGGGTGTGCGAATAATTTTGTTGACACAGTGGATGTTCATCAGTCATTTGTACACCCTCAACCAGCTTCTTTCTTAGTCTGATAACTAAGCCTCAATTACATTCTTAGATCTCCTTGTCTACCCAGGTATACAGCGCCATCTTCTCAGCTCCTGCATCAACTTTCCTTCTCTCCTCTGCCAAAGATTTTGCTATCTACATGCGGAAAAACATTTGAAAATTAAAGAATGCTGAACGCGTTTTCAGCACATTTCACCTTCATCAGAGCAAGGTAGAGAGTGAGCTATCTACATGTTTACATGTTACCCAAATTGGGTACATTCATCTCCCCAACATCTATTCATTTTCCTTTACATGCACTCATGAACCGCACTAAAATTCATAAATTTTAACAGCAATTTATTTCTTGAAACATGAAGGTGGGCTCCAAGTGACCGTGGACGCCATGCTCCCGAGTATGACCGTTTCAGTGATTCCTGAGAAATACCGTAACATCACCGCCGTCTACTACAAGATGGACCGACTCGTCGCCAACGCCACGCTTCCTGAGCAATATGCCTTCAGGTTACAAGACGGAGGTCAGTGCCGCCTTGAGGTGCAACTGGGTGGGGCAGATGGGCAAGGATTAGGCGGATGTGGGAGGATTAGGAGAGGATAAGTATGAGGGGTTGACTGCGTGAGGCGGGTAATATATATGTTGTAAGGGATAACTGGTAGATGGGTAAAGGTGGAATGTAGTGGCATATATGTACTCACCATCTTATGTTTTTCAGGATCAAGCAACAGTTGCAAGACCCAGTGCTTCTTAGTTGTTCAATGACTTTCTAAAGTCGTGAATGTTGTTAAACATATACTTGAATCTATGTTGACCAAACCACACACTAGAAATTGAAGAGACGACGACGACGACACAATCGACTTTCGGTTCAAGACGGACCGAAACGTCGTCATCTCTTCAATTTCTAGTGTGCGGGTTGGTCAACATTTTTCAGTCACGTTATTGTGACTTATCATCTGCACTTGAATCCGTGTTGGGCACTCCACTTATAAACCTTTGACTCTTGTAAGTGTTGAGTTTTGTGTGTTGGGAGAAGGTGTTAAAGAGGTCATGTGGGGGAGTGGAAGGTATAGGAAGGGTCCGGTGTGGGGGAGAAGGTGTAGGCGTGGTCCTGTGTAGCAGAATGGGGGAAGAGGCTTTGAAGGAGAAGTGGGGAGAGAGAGAGATAGGAGGAGTTGAGGGAATGAGAGAGCGGAGAGTAGGAAAGTTATCAAAACTCCGCTCATCAACATTTTTTTTCAGTGTTTGACGTAATGTTTGTGCCTTTGTGTTCCCCACCAGGCTCAGTGTACGTGGACACAGTGTGTCGTCTGCTGGAGAAGTACCGGGGGGACAACATCACCAAGGTGCTCGAGAGAGTCTCCAATAAGATGCACCAGATTCTCTTCTCTTGTAACAAAGAATTTAAGGGAGAGGCCAAACAGGCTTGTTTCTACGAGACCACTTTCCAGAAGACCTTCATCGTTCCCGGGGCTAAACGATGAAGAGTTTGGCTCTTCAGAATGCCCTGTTCCGAGGACCCCCACTACTAAGAGCTACTTAAAATTAAGGAACTAATCGCTAGGAGTGCCCGTAAAGAGCACTCTGTGAGAGTGACTGGTGTTTGGAGGTCTTTCAGAAGCTGTTTGATGAATCTCCTGAGAGCAAATATTGATAGTTTTCAGGATATTCAACATTTGAAGAAAAAACTAGTGGAACTATGTAATAATGATGCAATCTCTTGTGTGGAGGTCCTGAAGAACATGTTTGTGGAGCTTCTCATTACACATCTTACACATTGCCTGGAGCTCCTGAAGACTTTATTGTAAAGCCTTTATTAATAATCATCAACATATTACACTCTAAAATATTTAGCCAAATATATATCCCTTAAATAAAGCATTGATATAAATCTAATTGATATCTATATTAACCTATATTTTCCTATTGTCCACTGACGGTTGATGGAACAGGAAGCCTATTGGTAGAGAGCAATGTCTCTGTTTTTTTTATAAGTTCTTCGATATTCTATTTCTTATTTTTTTATTTTTTTTATATATAAGGTACATTGGGTTGTAAGAGTACATAATATTGCTGTTGTTACATTCTTGCAAAGCCGGAATTATACTGGTGACGTTGCATGTTTTGAGTACTAAATAAGGGGGGGAGTGGGTAGCACAAGATAGTGTGAGTTTGAAGCTCAGGGTAGGGAACTATGGGAATATAATCAGGTACTCTTTGGTTTTACTTTTGAATAAAGCATAAGCTGAACAAGTTTTTAATTCATTGGGAAGCGAGTTCCATTTGCCTTGATGATCTTTTGCAGTTGGGTTTTAAAATTTAATAAGAGTGTTGGCATTTACGGCTTCGGCGGGTAAGGAGTTCCATGCATTTATAACCTGGTTGATACCTGGTTGATGGGGTTCTGGGAGTTCTTCTACTCCCCAAGCCCGGCCCGAGGCCAGGCTTGACTTGTGAAAGCTTGTTCCACTAGGCTGTTGCTTGGGGTTAGCCCGGCCCGAGGCCGATTAGCCCGAGGCCCGATTAGCTCGGCCCGAGGCCAGGCTTGACTTGTGAGAGTTTGGTCCACTAGGCTGTTTTCCCCTATGGGGGAAAACAGCATCTCCTGTTTTTAGTCCTACATTGTAAAATTGTTCAGTATTTTGAACGTTTCGATTAGATTAGCCCTATCATGCCAGGTTTGCAGTGTTAGTCCTGTGACACAACCTGTCCTGGAATTAGAGTCGACTTGGTTCAAGAATAATTTTCATTGCTCGGTATTGAACTTTCTCCATCATGTCAGTTAATGACAGGCATAGACTGTTACATTATTGTCAGTAGTTCTAGTAACAGCACAGTAGTTTATATAACAGAACAGAAATACTAAAGAGTAATTTAGAAAAGCAACTGGAACATAACAGAGTAATAAAGTATAATTTAAGTATAACTAAATCAGTCAAATAAGCGTATATGTAGTCCATATAGAAAATAAAATAGTAAAATAGATATATTACTAGGTACAAAATCCTCAGGACAAATGGGGGGGGGCATTTGACAAGCCGCCGGCTTTCTGTCCTCGTACAGGCCACTAGAGAAATAGTGGCAGTCAGGTAAATGCAACATTTTACTGTACACATCAAGCAGTGCAATTATATAAGTTTTATGTGTTATACGTTAGATAATTGCAATATAGAATCCACTGAATTGTTCATCGTATTATTACCGACCGTCTCCTTGTATATAAAAATACGTACGGTTGGGCGAGACGGCAATGAATCAAAAGAGCTTCAGTTAGCCAATGAATATCGAGAAAACTTCAATGATCAATAACAAAAAACGGACTAAGTTTAGGGTAAACATCAAACTTTTAATTTACAGTTCGGGCTACCAAAATTTCATGATTGACTGATACACAAATGATATAGGAGTCACACAAATATAATACACTATTATTGAAATTGCTACAAAATAACATTTACGGTGAGCTACTATGTTCTACTATGTTTAGGTCTATTATGTTCCTAACTCTGCTCTCCTCTCCTTATACCACGCGCTAATCTATCCCTATCTTACATTATGGTATTTGTGCATGGGGTTCAACCACTGCAAAACTACCTCAAGCCCATCATTACCCAGCAAAATCTGCTATCAGAATAAGAAACTCTGTTTCTGTTATCAGACAACACACAGCGCCTCATTGTGTGCTTTGTTTAAATCCCTAAACATGCTAAACATAAACTCACTCCATACAATCTCTTGCGCCATTTACATTTACAAAACTCTGTTATTAAATGCAAATCCTGATTTGAAACTCTTCCTTGACAGATGTAATAGAACCCATAATCACCGCACCAAAAATAAATATCTCTTTGATATCCCCCAAGAGTCAAACTAAATAACCATTGTGATCATTGCTGTCTTATATGTGCTGTCAATCTGCTGTATGGTGTCTATTAATCCTGTTTAAATTACTAATCAAGCTGTCAATGTAATCAATCAGAGCTTTAATATAACAATGTGCTTTAATATACTTGCTTATCTCTCTCATCTCATTTTTCTCTTGTAATGTATCTTTCATTTATCAATTCTGATTGAAATTACCTACTTAAAATTATCTGCTAGATTAAGGACCTGCCCGAAACGCTGCGCGTACTAGTGGCTTTACAAGAATGTAAATACTGTACTATCCAATGTATTCTCTCAAACCCAATGTACCTTCTTGTATATATATAAATAAATAAAATAAAATAAAATAAAATAAAATAAAATCTGTGTAGGCACTCTAAGCAAATACAAATAGGGAAACCTTTGACAAGCAGGCGGCTGCCTGTCCTCCTCGAGGCTACTAGATAGTAGCCCCTCAGGTAAATATGGTTGGCCCAGAGTCTGCCAGTGCAGACTACTTATCACATGCCTCTGTATGACTAACCATTCTGTGTGATGGGGATTTTTAGCATCACGTAGCTAGCTTTTTGACACACTGTGTAGGGTAGCTGCACAAATGCAGATGTGCCTAAATGTGTTAATAAAAAATACACCATTTTAATATTTAAAGCTGTTGTGTTGGTTTTTGTCTCGTGTACTTTTATGGAAAAATTACTTCTAATATAAAAGCATTTGTCTCTCATCTCCTCCCCGTGTTCTTGACCTAATATGTAGTCTGTTTATGTATGATAAATGAGTCTAAATTTCATCCATGAGCAGAAATTTGATGTGAAGAACTTGCAGCATATAGTGTATAATATATTTCGTTGGCTTGGTTAGACAATTTAAGCCTGGAACTCTGGAGAAATATTAATGGTCAGGTTGATGTGAAAAAAGTATCGCACCTATAAATGAAAATGTGTCACTTTCTTTACACTATCGTATATTTGTTATATTTTGAATATTTACAAGAGCTTATTGCTCCATCAAAATTATGAGAACCACACGTGGGATATCGAGGCAACCCGGGCGGGAGAGCCGTGATTATGCCTATATTAACATTCTTCCAATTCACGGAATGTTATTAATCACAATTCACTAATACCGGCCGCGCTGGCTGAAAGCTGCACGTGGACTCGTTGCAAATTAATCACGTTGCGACCCAAATTTTGGCGATTTATAACCAGATTTCAAAAACTCGTTAGGGACATTACTAAGCCAACCTCATTCCATGATTGGTGCCACATGCTGTGAAAATTAAATAAAACCGACCACGAATTCCTTTAACTAGCCTAAGTTCACTTATAAAGCAATTTTATCAATATAATTGCTATACGTGTTATCTTTTTCTAGCCGTTCTCTTGATTTGCCACAACGTACAAAATACAATTAAAGTGCTAGCCTAACCAGAACCGCACGAACCTAACCAACCCACATAACCTAACATTCCCATGTATAGAAAACGTAGATATTTGTGAGGCGCTATTTTTCATGGTACTTTGTAATTTGTACGTTGGAGACTATAATGTACAAAATGAGATGTATTAGTTGAGAGGCCGGGTTGAAAGTCAGTGTCAATAACTTGCCATACGAGGCGTAATTAGTAATTCATTTGTCCGGGACAGGCAGCCTGTGCATATATTTACCTTCTTGACAGTCAGGTAAATTCAGGTAAATATATCCATTAGGCTTATATATCGAGGTCGAACAAGGTCGAACTACTGATCCTCCCCAGCTGGATGCAACCCATCAACAGTTGCCTATAACTCCCGGGTACCTATTTATTGCTAGGTGAACAGACGCATTAGATGATAGGAAATGTGCCCAACTATTTCTGTCTCGCCCACGATTAGTGATTGTGAGTCGCGAACGAACCCAATTGTACTAACTCTCAACCAAGGGACGGTAGACAACAACAGGATCGCAGTCTTGAGCCTCACTATGAGTCCATTGTCTCTACTTATCGTAGTTTTGAGGACAATATGTGGGGGCATCTCCCAACTAGAGAAAGATTGCAAAATATACATCATTTTCTGTAGTCTAGAACAGGGCACCAAGAGCTACAAGACGCCGTCTACCATATAACCAGGCAATCTAGGAGTGCCATGAATGGCTGAACATACAACCATTGAACATCATTCCACAACAGCGATGAAATACGACTGTAATGTTAGAAGACCCAGTGCTATAATGTTTACGGCAAGAAGAGACGCTTCAGTCTCACAGCTGGTGATCGAAAAGCCTAGCTCAACTCGAGGGCGCTAAGCCCCACAATGCATACTAGAATAATGTAGTAAAATGCATACTAGAATAATAGATGCCACGAGGCATACTAGAATAACAGAGTAAAAGCCTAAGAAACAAATATTCATATAATAGCACTGTCATACAGCATATTTGAAAACACAAAAATAATTATAAAACACCAAAAAAATGGACTCACAAAGAGAAACAGCAAAGCATGCACCAAAGCGGTCGTATATGCATATCCATATGTGTTCCAACATATATATGTTCCAATATATGTGAAAATGTTGCAAACAAATAATCTTGGCTCAAAGGATCTAAACACAAGCAATCAACTACGATCTGTTACCATTACCTAGTTGTTTGGCTTCCTGGTAATCTAATAATTTATTATAATTATTATTATTATTAAGAATAAGAATATAAAGAAGAACGACGCCTCAAGTGATAAACGCTAGAGAGGGAGAAGACAAGAAAACAGAAATCGATCACCGCAAACTTCTGCTGGTCAGGATATTTTTCTTTTTAATTTGTGAAAACGAGCTTATGTTAAAATACGCGAAAGTTAAATAACGTCAACTAAGAAAAAATAGTAATCCTGCGGCGTTACGCTGATTAGTCACAGCCAGCTTACCTCATGGAGGAAATGCAACCCTAATCTGTGTTGACCACGTTCTCTTGATTAGGCTGGACACTTCCATGACACATTAATACCAATGATAATGACGCATTAAGAGTGACTGTGTTACACTGCGAGGCAAAAATTAAATGACTCTTTGCCTCAGACTGTATAATCCACGGAGACCTAATTTAAAATGTAAATTCAGAAAGATGTCCAAATGACAGGAAGCTCTAAAAATAGCAAGTTGTTGAATTAGTTGACAGTGTTAGAACAGAGTTGTCTTTCTTTATCAATCTCTAATGTGGAACAGTCAAAAAATCTTATTAATGACTACTTATATATCGTAATCTTAACCACACTCTACCACAGTGTTTATGATTGAGAAGAACGTGATTAATTTTATCATATTTATCAATTCTCCGACACTATTTTTGCGAGTAGCCCTGTTATCAACGATATTGGACTGAGTGCTAGGAGATACTTTGAGCTCTGTAACTACTTCATACACTCACGAGTGTGTGTGTGTGTGTGTGTGTGTGTGTGTGTGTGTGTGTGTGTGTGTGTGTGTGTGTGTGTGTGTGTGTGTGTGTGATGAGGCTAGCGGGCACGTGGGTGGCTGATTTTCGAGGTCACCAAATGGCCTCCCAGTGTTCATCCTTAAGGCACGAGACCAACACTGCTCTTAATCCTGGAGGAAGGACGGTGTGGGGTGTGACTGTCCAACGCTTCCTCGGCTCTCCACTGACGTAGCACCTCCCTCCCCTCCTCCCAGCTCTCAATCCCTCACACGCTGAACTTTTCCCCACAACGTAGTCTTATTACTACAGGTTTGCATCGCTTGCGTCGTCATTGAGAGTTCCCCTTATATACTTTTCGACAGTCTCCGCTCCACCTGGGTGAAAATCCATTCACTTCACATTTTTCCTTCATTTTTAAAATGAACAACATTGTTCATTTTACCTTGCTGTTGCCAGCACACTTCCTTTCCACTTCACTTACTCCTGTTAACTCCCCTCTCCACTTCACATTGCTCGTGCTAACACACCTACGATTCTCCAACAAATATTCACTCTTATTTCATGAAGGTCATGCAAATATCTACTCCTTGGTGCTTGCGGTTACCTTGCTTTTGTTCCCAGGATCAACGTCCACGCGGCCCGGCCTCTGACCAGGCCTCCTGGATGGTGCTTGGTCAACAAGGGCGTTAGATGCGGCTGCTCGCAGTCTGACGAATGAATCACAGCCCGGTTGATCAGGTGTCCTTCGGCGGCGTTTGTCAAGTTCTGCATTGAATTTCACTTGAAGTCGATTGTACCAATCCCCGTTATTGCAGCGTTATTATTCGTCTCATCAATCCGTTATGATTCCCGCTACCGTGAATTGCTGTCAGAATCCAATTGGCGCGAGTGTGGAAGATTAATTGCAATTCGAGATAGTCAAACAGAGTGTACCACCCCGTGATCTCGCAGGAGCAACGAGACTGCATTGTTAAGATCCGTGATCATCGTCAGCATCCGTAGTCAGGAGGGAATAAGGAAACATTTCCCAGTATTTGTGAATTTTTAGTCTTTAGTGTTTTTCCTGCCCGAAACGCTTTGCGCAATAGTGGCTTTAGGCATTGTATGCACTAGCTCTATCTATAAATTCGTCAATATTTGTATCACACCTTGTATGTATGTACTTTACCTGAATGAACATTTGAATTTGAATTTTGAATCCTCCTGAAGTAATTAAGTGAGTTACCGCCATTTCTGTAGACAGTGTGATTCCCACCTAAACCGAGCCATCACCCCGTGTTCTGTAACACGTGGTCCTATCCGTGTGTCACCTACGACACGTGTTCACCCCGTGTGCCCACGCGTCTCCACCTCTCGGTGTTACCAAGCATGCCTCCCTCCCGCGCAAATTTCAAATTTCCTCCTCCGCGCCACCCACATCTGACGCCATCCACCACCCGGTACAATCTTACTCCACATGGTCTCGTTATAACCACGTGTGGAGAGTGTTGAACAGAACTTCAATCAATAGCTGTATTGAGTTCTGAGTGAATGAGATAGCTTGAATGAGAAGGCCGGTCAGTACTCATATTTCTCTATTTTCTGCTAAGTTTCTTTGGTAGAGTTTACGTCAACTTCCGGTTGGAAGTACGAGCACCTGTGTTGAAGTGAAGGGAAGCGCTGCCGAGGAAACGCACATGTAAGGGACGACTGTAATTATGTTCCTAGTTGTGTATGTGATACACATTTATTACACCCTGTGTTAGGAGTTTAACACTGTGTTGAGGTGTGGTTTGGTTCAATATTATACCGTTCCGTTTATGTATTTCCATGTGAATGTTTTGTCCATTTCAGGAGAAACCAATGATTCCAGAAAGGTAAGAGGTAAATTGTTATGAAACCCTGAATAGTTACTGTTTATTAATTATTATCCGTGTGATTTTTAATTACGATTGTTGTGATTTGTTGTGCTGTGTTATTGGTTAATACTGTGAACTGTAGCCTAGTGTTAATACTGTGAACTGTAGCCTAGTGTTACAGTGTTCCGATTGTCTGTGCGACTAGGAATTGAGGTGATCTTTAATTGGTAATTAATGGTTCAGTGAGGGCAAAGAATTCAGTAAAGACGCCATACATGCAATGAAGTGTGAGTGAGTTTCAGTTTCCTAAATCCACGGTACAGTTTTATGCCTATATTTGAAGTTTCTTTGATCTCCCAATACGAACGAAAAATTACATTACAGAGGACTGAGGTCACGTGATATATCTCCAGAGGGGTTGAGACCTCTGACCGATCGTCCTATATATTGAACACCTTCAGTAATAAAAATAATAATGAATATGATAATCATCATTAGCTAACACAATTTTTAGGCACTTTTGCTGTGGCGGTCTCGCTTCTTGTAGATTTCTGCGTTCTATCCCCGATGATTAAAGTAGTTGGGCACCATTCCTTCACCACATCCTCATATTCCCTACAACCACATCCCCACCTGTAGTTTCTTACATCCTCGCTCCCACCTGAGGTTCCCTGCAACAATATTCCCACCTATGGACCACAACAAAATTGATCGAGGTAGCAAAACTAACAAAAGGACTGTCGCGACTGCATCTAAAGGATAACATGAGACATTCAGTTTAACACATTTTGTTAAGAGTACAATACAGTACACAGTATTCTTGTATATGTTCCACGGAGCCGTGATTGGGAACCACTGGTCTTGGAGGAACTGCGCGACTTCACTGGTGTGATTCACACCAGTGAATCACACAGCTCGGGCAAGAAAGGTACAGATTTAGGTCTCGAAGTTTGTTAATTTTTACCCTCAGCTCAAATAAGTCTTAGGCAAACTCATCTCTATGACGCGTTTAAAGGACTTATCACATGGTAATCACATGGCTTACAGCCATTACAGGAATCTACATTATACGGGGAATTAACTCGTTGATGGAGTTTATCCCTTTCACTTTACGGTGTGGTGAGTTAAGTGGGTTAAATCACACTTTTAAGAAACAGCAGTCGATTATTAAGGAAACTAATTGCATACACTACTCATTGCAATCAATGCAGTGTACAGAGACCACCATCAACATGCAGCTACTCACCGTAGTCCCTGTAGTGTACCCAGAGACAACTACCAACCTCACACATCAATCATCACCAACAACCTGTAAATGACTCATAACAGAACACACTCTTCCTCACTTCTTGATGGATAAGACGCAGGTTAATGACACTGGAATACCATTTCAGTATTCCTCCTCACGAGTTACCCCAGATCTCTCAAAGTCTTCAGCCCCTGTAGCACTTGCTTATAGATCCAGTAGACCCAAATACATACACAATTTGGCGCTCGAGGATATCCCTTCCAACGTGTCATGTTTCTGAGATTCACAGCTTGATAATTTATCTTGTTATCGAATGTGTGATACTTACCTGAGATGACTGGAACTTCCTGGAACAACCCTCTCCAGCTCACTCAATCACTCACTCAACACATTCTCAGACTATGCTCGTTCAAGCTTCAGCCGTCTTCATTGATTAATTTTTCGTGGTGTGATTTCTAAGGAGCTGTTTTCTCAAATATAAATGAACAAATATGCGTTTTAGTTTTATATAATAGCTAGGCCTATAATGGGCTTAATTAAGTGTTTTATGTTGACAATTATTTATATTTATGTACGTATAGATGATGATTTGATCTGGTCATGGAATATAGACGTGAATCGAACAGTGTCGAATATAGAACAGTGTCGTCAGCAAAGTATTGTTCGAGCAAATTTCGAGCGCAATCAGTTCTGACGCACGTGTAAAAAAAAAAACACCTTATTCATAAAAAGATTTATTACTTCTGACTCCTGTTAGTTAGCAGTTTTCCATCCCCATAGCTCATATTAAGCTTTACTGGTTTCTCTAGAACACGATCCCCCAATCGGTTTGAAACCAGGTCCTCGATTACTGCTGGGAGAACAGGGACGAGCAGTTAAGGATCGGTGCTTGTCAATCCCTCGATCCTTCCCTGCTCAGGGCTCGAACCCGGTCGAAATTGCTCGTGAGGGGTGGGGCTTGTGTGTTGTTTTCTCGGGTTGAAGTGGATATGTGGGCCTGCGGACCGCTCCAAGCAACAGACTGTTGGACTAAGTTATCTTAACTCAAGCCTGGTCCCAAGCTGGGCTTGGGGAGTAGAATTCCGAGCACTCTACACGTATGATTCAGGTAATAATTTACTTAAATTTATGTTATACACGACTCACAATTGATGGCGTTCGAACATTTCTCGAACAATACTTCGCTGACGACACTGTTCGAGTCTCACCTCTGTTAATGTTTCATCCACGTGCTGCAAATAAAAATACTGTAATTACTAATAGACCCAGACCACTTCACATATCACAGACCTAACTATATGCAAAATTATTAATGTCTATTAGTACAGGGTCCGGGTAGTACAGTCGGGGTTCGTTCTAGACTCATAATCGGGAATTGCGGGGATCGAATCCCAGGCGGGACAGGAATGCTTGGGCGCGTTTCCCATCACCTAATGGTCCCGTTCACTTAGCAGTACCGGCAGAAATAGGTATCCAGGAGCTGGTCACTTTGTTGTTGGGTTACATCTATGAGTTGTGGATTTTGTTAACAAAACCAAGCAGAAATAGCCTAATCTACTCTATTCTTTTGAGATGCATCTTATTGTCTCAATAAATATACAAATATTTGAATGTACATAAGCTTGAACCATGTAGAAATATAGGATCATAAATGAACGAAGATATGAAATTGAATAATTTATTTTGTAGCTTATTTTAAACTACTATAGAGCTAAGAAACCGGCTACCCCCTACTGTCTCCTTAACAAAGTGGGTACCTGCTATCCTCGCTACAGCAATCACTTAGCTTAACCTACTAGCACATTGCATGAATATATTGTAATTAATTTGTATATTTCAATATTTACAAGAAAGTACAAAAGGTTTTGTAATATGTGTAAACAAAACATTCTCTCAAGGCCACTATCAGGCAGTATTTGGCCCAGTATCTGTTAATATTTTATGATCTTAGTAATCTGCTATTTATAACATAGATTTTTGCATAATCTTTGTTACTCGTTAATTACTAAACCTTAATTAAATTCTGTGCAACAACCGCGTAAGTACGGAACATGATAGGCTAATTCCCCAACGTATCGCTATAGATTTACATAATTGTAAAGTCATGCAACTGTATGACACACTACTGAATCAGACATTATTTCGTCACGATTACACATACTCTGAAAAACGCATCAAAGTGCAACATGATCGTCAATATAGTTTTGGCATTATGATCATATTGGATGATATCCATCTATCACGGTCACAGGGGAATAAACCGTTGTCGTACTGGAGCACAGACGCGCGTAGGACGCTTTGCTGCCAGACGCATGGTGCTTCACTCTGGTCCTATTTAGTGAGGATTCAAGCCCCGAGAAGCCAGTGTCCGTAGCCCATGCAAGAGGGGAAGACGTTCATGTGAATCCGTAAGGACGCTCAGTTAAAGGCGACATCTTTAAAAATGTAAGTGTGGTGAATGCGTTTGTCCACGACTGGTGAAAGTGTGAGCGAGTGTTTCCCCCACGAGATCTCGTGGTAATACATCGTTCAGCACTTGTGTTAGCATTAAAAGTTGTTTCCCCGCAGGTCATAATTTTTTTGCAAATGTTTCACCTTGCACAGCAACAGCAGCATACAGGAACACTGGCTCCACTCGCCGCTCACCACGCGAAAGCAACATTCATTATAAACATTTAAACAGCGTTTGCAGATACTTAAATGACTGTATACCCAGCCGTGAGACAGGCAGAGCCAGGAGGGGTGGAGGAGACAGGCAGCTGGTGCAGGAAACAAGTGTCCGCCTGGCAGCAACCTGCTGCTCCTACCACGTGACTTGAGCCTCATGATATATTGATTTTTTACCTTCTCGTGACCTTGTTTCCCCAGTTTTCGTTGCCCCTTCCGTTTGAAGGTCACATTCAGTTGTGAGGAATTGGACCAGTGACAGCTGATTATCCTAGTGTTATGTATACAGGCCTAGCTATTTCTGGCGTACTTTTACGCCAGGAATAGCGTAATAGGAATTATTACGGCTCCCTAGCGTAATAGGGAGCCGGTCGGCCGAGCGGACAGCACGCTGGACTTGTGATCCTGTGGTCCTGGGTTCGATCCCAGTCGCCGGCGAGAAACAATGGGCAGCGTTTCTTTCACCCTATGCCCCTGTTACCTAGCAGTAAAATAGGTACCTGGGGTGTTAGTCAGCTGTCACGGGCTGCTTCCTGGGGGTGGAGGCCTGGTCGAGGACCGGGCCGCGGGGACACTAAAAAACCCCGAAATCATCTCAAGATAACCTCAAGATAGAGTTCATTTCGTGTATTATGGACTTCGAACCTATTGCCAGCGGTACGGTGAATAAAAGCATCCCGTCATTTATTTATTTATATACAAGAGGTACATTGGGGTTATGAGGGTACATAGCAATGATGATTTTACATTCTTGTAAAGCCATTAGGACTCATAGCGTTTCGGGCAGGTCCTTAATCTAACAGTTAATCCAAAAAGATAATCAAACGTACAGAAATGAACTGTTATACTCAACAAAAATGAATTTGATTTTGTAAAGGCACAATATAGTGGGCTCCAGTGAAACCGGAACCTATTAGGTCTAGTATAGTACATATGTACTAAATTAGGGATAAGATTGCGTATCTCGGCCCTAAGATTGCCTATTTAAGCCTAAGGTTAGGCTCTATAGTTCCACTTTTGGAGTCCTCCAGATGTCATTCCAAATAGTACACAACGTGAATTCTTTTGGGTACATCACCATATTTGTACGTTTAACTAGTAGTTAAGTTATTATAAGTACTACGATTTTTGAATCGTGGGTTGACGGCCCTCGACAGGAGCCCCTAGAGTGTGTTAGTGGCCATCAGGTAAATTTAGGTAATACGGAAGGCGCTGACGGACAGATTAATGTCTCGTCTATTTGAGACCAATTTATGCAGTTGAATCTTTATAAAATACTATAATTAAATTTTGTTCTTATGTATCTGAAAGGTGATAAAAGGAGAAATCGTTGTTAGAGGGAAAATCTTTCGTACCATATAGGATTGAGGTTATTAAGCCTATTTTATTATGTAATCTTAAAATTTCGTATACTGATTTTGTTAAGTCGTTGGGTGGGTAATGCCACCCATTAAATTAATGGAGTTATGAGAAAGGTGAAGGCGATAATATGGGAGAGTGGCATAAACATATAGCATATATAGGCCTAGTAAGAGTAATTTGAGCAGAGGTATGATAAGTGTTAGTCAAAGAAATAGCCCGAGAAGCGTGTGGTACTTGCCTATCAGTGACTACGGGGATGTGAGGGCTAGCTCTTTGTCCCACCTACTAGCCTTGTTTTACACAGACGATGAGTAACAATAACATGGCTGAAGATATGACCAAACATACGAAAATTAGAAAACGACGTTGTTTCGGTCCGTCCCGTTGCATTCTAATCTTAAGATTTTCAACCTTTTTCAACTCGTGGCACATTGAACAAGGTGCTGAAATTAAGACTCCAATAAAGTGTTGAGATGCGGGACCAAAGAGCCAAATCTCAACCCCCGCAATTACAACTAGGTGAGTACACTTAAGATTGAAACATGTTGAAGTCTACGGACTCGGGAGAATATTTCGCATCCACTGACGTTGTGAAGGAGGGGGGGGGGGCTGCTAATGGCAGACTCTCCTTCAAACTGGGCATTGGGACCAACCGCAACACCCTTATGACACTCCCTATAAAATCACCAGCAATCCTTCAAATTTTAATTAGGCTAGCCCCAAGCGTCTGGCGTCCAACTTTGGACAAAACACATTCTATTTTAGATATATAGATAAATAGACCTAAAATATCCGCTGTGTGCAATTACCCTAAACTATATGAAAGGGTAACTAGCTATGTTGAAGGCTATACACAACGCAAGCTGGATGTTATATAAAGTATTGTAGATTTCGTAATTTATGTACACTGTAAACTTTGAAAGGTATGGAAAGTGAATGCGAAGGAGATAAGATTACCTTGGAAATGGAAAGTCTAGGGAGAACTGACTGGAAGAGAGGATGACGGTATGGGGAGTTAGATGTTTGCAGAGTAAATGGATTAGGCTGGAGTAGAGTAGGAGAGAGCTTGGGGCGTACAGGAAGCCCTGATGAACATTGCACCCCCCCCCTCTAGTGTTACAGTGCACGGGACCCTAGCCGAGTGCACGTGTACTTGCCTCGATGCCTCTCAGGTTCCTCTCACTTAGCGCATTACTGTTCTCACGTAAGCAGCGGCCATTATAAGCGTTTTTTTTCATCTACTTACATGGAAGTGGTCCTGCAGACTAAGACTAGTCTGTTTTTTTCCATCATTTATTATGCACCCCATACCCATCCTATGGGCGGTGGTGGAAAGGGTTACAGAAGCACATAAAGGGTTTAGGAACTGATCCCCTATACAGAACTTCATGTAGCTAAGTGAAAATCTTGTGAAGGTAGTTACATTTTTGTTATTAGTACATATATACATAAATAGTATATATTTGTACATATAACAAACATGTACACAAATACGCATACTTGTCAATCTTTTTATGTCACAAGTGATTCAAGAAGAGGCGTCACAACAGTATACAAAGCAGTTTACATCAATGGTGAGTCACAGTTACTAGTCTTGCTCCACACCCACCCAACTGGGCGGCAACTTTACAGTTATGTGCAGGCTGCAAATACAGTAAGCAAATTTTGGATAGCCGGCAACGCGCATAGCATCCAGATGTAGTCATGAAATGTATTCATTTTAATTTTAGTAATTTATTATGTACGCCATAACCTTCCTGTGGGTAGTGGTGGAGGAAAGGGTTACAGAGGAACATAATGGGCCGAGAAACTTCTGGACCCTATAGTTCATTTAGATAACAGAGTAACAGTCATGCGAAGCTAATTATACAATTTTCATACGTATATCAACAAAGTGAGAGAGGGTGCGGGGGGGGGGGGGGGGGAGTTCTCGACTGCACCTGCAGCCCATCATTCCGTTTTGATAGTACTTATAGTAACGATAAGGACCATGGTATATATACCGACGTATAACGAAATTAGAACTTAGAAATCCGAACTATTCAGTTGGACAAACCGGAAAAACTATTTTTCACTTATTGCTTTGACAAATTAAACTAACCTATCCTAATCTCCATAGGCCTAATACACGATATTCGAGGCCTAATGTAGTACATGTGTGTGCTATACTAGGCCTAGGAATATTTAGGTTTGTGATTTGGCTTTATTTTAAAAGAATTCCTTACTAGTCAGTATACTACTAACTAGAGGATAAGAACGTGCGAATTCTGACTATTGACGATCGTCACAATAGATACTATCTAAACAGGAGGATGAGTGGGGGGGGGGGAGGTCTCTCTCCCAATCTCTCCCGTCTCTCATCTCTCCCTATCCCCTCTTCTCTTTCCATCTTCCCCCTCTGCACCTGTCTCCCCCTCTTTTCTTCAGTCTCTTCAAAACATCCACCCTCCCCCTGTGTTCTTCCCAGTCACTCTCATAACAGCAATACTGAATTCACGTTCATCGTTTTAAAGTAGAGACATCTAGACTAGGGCATCCATCTTTTACCGATTACCGGGGAGCGCGGTCACAATTGGGCCAGACCCCATTTCAGTAGGACCAATTGAATCAATCCCGATCAGCCTATGACCGTCCCATACGCAAGCCCATTCACCCTGCAAAGTTGGTTGAGGCTTTCCCTAGCGTGTGGCCTCCACCTTCGACAGACCTTTTCTTATATAACACACTGTAACACACACACACACACACACACACACACACACACACACACACACACACACACACACACAGTGTGGATGACAAGCTGTACTCGTAATCCTGTGGCCCGGGTTCGATTCCTGGCGCCGGCGAGAAACAAAAATTGACAGTTTCTTTCACCCTCATGCTCCTGTTACCTAGGAGTAAATAGGTACCTGGGAGTTAGACAGCTGTTATGGGCTGCTTCCTGTAATTACCTGAGTGTGTGTTGTGTAAAAATAATAATAATAAAATAGTAACAGTTGAGAGGTGGCTCGAAAGAGCAGAGCTCAACCCCCACAAACACAACTAGGTGAATACAACAAGGTGAATACACATACAGGGGCCTGACGGCTGAGTGGACAGCACTCGGCGTTCGTAGTCCTAGGGGTTCGGGAATCGATCCCCGGCGGAAGCGGAAACAAATGGGCAGTTTCTTTCACCCTGATGTCCCTATTCACCTAGCAGTAAATAGGCAGAAAAAACTCTGCCCATTTGTTTCTGCCATCGCCGGGGATCGATTCCCAGTCCCTAGGATTACGAATACCGACCGCTTTCCACTCAGCCACTGGCTCCTAATGTGTGTGTTACAAATCCACAAGGGCCGTGACGAGGATTCGACCAGTTAGTTAGCTGGTTAGCACGATTAAACCTTCGAATCCTCGTCACGGCCCTTGTGGATTTGTTCATTTGATGCATCACGTTAGTGTGATCTCTGTGTGTGTTAAGATGTGTACTTTCATTTCTTTTATAATGAGAAGTAAACTGAAGCCCATGATGGCCGGCAACTTTTACCCAGCATTAGTGGCAGTTATGAGGCCCCAGAACCGGTTTATAGGCCATGTGAATTCCAAGAAATTTGCGACTATCTGTGCGAAGGCAAAAAGTGGATCTGGCAACCTAAGTAAGATTGGCTATACTTAATCATTTTTTGGGGACGGAGTTTAAACAACTATATCAAATATGTTAAAATAAATTTTACATACGCACGCGCGACCAAAATTGGAATATGCAGCGAATGTATGGTGCCCACATATCGCAAGACGCACATCAGTAAACTGGAAATGGGGTCAAAGACATGCAACTATAGGCCTTCCGGAACTGAAAAAACAAGACCTACGAGGAGAGGCTGGAGGTGTTAAATATACCAACGCTAGAAGATAGAAGAAAGGTGATATGATCACTATGTACAAAATAGGAACGGGAATAGATACAATTAGCAAAGAACAATTTTTGAAAACTGCAACTTCAAGAACAAAAGAACGTAGTTTTTCTCTCATTTCTTAGTTTCAATCAATGTTCAGGATTAAAATATAATTTCTTGGTCAGAGACTGATAAGCCTTTGTCCATATCTCGTCTAAAATGAGTACATACAGGCCTTGCGACACAGAAATGTTGAACCTAAGCAAATACATAGTTTATTGCAGCGGGAAACTATAGCATCAGACACCGATAAACGAGAAAAGGGCCTAACCTGTTCTAGGTCTAGTAAGTAATACTTGACCTAATGTAGGACGCGTAGAGGATATGCAAGGATGACCTCAAGACCCAAGTTATCCCCCAACCCTGCTGGTGTTGCTGGGTGGGTTTGACAAGGATGGGATCATAGAGGGATGCACAAGGCTGACTCATTTCCAGTAGTGGGAGCTGACTCGGACGGACGATGTTGTGCTGATTGAAGCTTGCTGACTCTCGAAGTCTAACCCATTGTAGCGAGTATATTACAACTGACTACATGTCTTATGCTTCGTGAACAAACGGCAACCGCAGACGTTGGTGGTGGTATATCGTCGACGGTGTCGCTATCGCAATATCATATCGCATATTTACATCTAACATTAATCAGAGTAAATTACGTATCACATGTTAAACACATTCTATCAGACACTGGTACTTAACAGAGTCGGTGAAAATAAAACTTCTATTAAAACTTACACTGATAAGATGGAACGCTGAAACTTGTACTTTACTATCGATATAAACTTTTAAAGATAATTTATAAGTGCGTCAAAGACAAGTAGAAACTAAAACTACGAGTCGGTAACAGCATTAACTGTGAAAAAATCCCGATCTTGAATCTTTGATTTCCCCGTTGCTGCGGAATCCTGTATCAAAGTGTCTATAAGTCAACGACTGACCTTTCCCCAGGATGCAGCCCACAGCAACTGTTGTCTAGCTCTGATACCTAATTTACAGTTAGAATAGGCATCAGGTATAAGGAAACCAAGAAAGGTAACAGCTTATAGCATCTACATTTTTTGTGCATCGTTGATACATGAGATTTGCTACAACGGACAGAAAAAGGTGTACTAAAACGCTCGATCCTCGGCCCGTTCTCTCGAGCATTTCAAATGTCACTGAACTGATGTACTAAATTCTTCGAACCTAACCTACCCGAGGACCCGCGAATAAAAAGAGGAAAATAACTTTTATTTTGCAAGCTGCAATGATTTTTAGTATATCGGTTTTTGGTCTTTGGGTATTTATACGTCAAAATGCGATGTACTATTCGAGAAGACAACCCCTCTTGAGCGTTCATCTATAGGAGTTATAAACCCAAGGAACCGCCTACCTGCCAAAGATGTAAATACCCAATTATATCATTGCTGAAATTCAAAATCCAGCTCGATAAAATCAGGACAAATGTGGGGGGGGGGGTGACAAGTTGCTGGCTTCCTGTCCTCATCAAGGCTACTAGAGAAATGGTGGCCCCTCAGGTAAATTCGGGTATATTTGTCCCACCCCCAGATTAAAGATTGTGAGCAGACACCATAGCAGCTAACTACTACAGTACAGCAATTCAAACTAATGCAAAATCCCCACATTTAAAACAAAGTTACTTTACCACTTTCCCTGTGTCTAATGTGTAAGTTTAGTAGTTATTTGTTACAGCCATGTTACTTTGATTTTTGTTTTTAAACAGCTATAACGTAAGGAACTATGATTAATGGGTTATGGATTTTGTAACCAGTCCAGTAAATTTACATTCTCACGAGTAAAGAATATGGTTGTTACATTTTATTTGCAGGTCGACGACTGTGGACAGTAATTGTGGCAAGTATGACTTCTCTGTACTGTGCCGGCACTGTGATGAAGAGTGTTCCGATGGCATTCCCTGCCAACTTACAGGTAAGATCGCTATTCTATCTTTTATATAAATAAAAATGTTAATATTAGTTTGTTCAATTTTTTTTTCTTTAGGGATATTCCTGCGCGGGCCCTAAGCCTCTAGCTGGCCCACTAAGTGTTGCTTGTTTCTGTTTTACTTGGGCGGAGTATGAGTATTTATGACTCGTACGGTCGCTTCAGTAAGATTTTGCCATATGTGTTTAACAACTTCTTCTACTCTGTTGAATCTAAGTTGAAATCTTAATGGGTTTATAACTGTGCACTGTGTTAGATAATGTTCCAGTGGTCTGACTAGCATTTCTCCACAGTGGTGACATTTCCTCTCATCTTCCGGAACCTGTAAGCCTATTTCCCATGCACATGGGTATCCAAGCCTGATGCGATGTAAGTGTACTTTTGTTGCTCTACTGCTCCCTTTCATCAAACTAAGTGTCTCGTAGTTGGTTGGATTCATGTACCAACCCGCAGGTCCTGATGTTGCAACTGCTGTGTTGTGGTCACTGTACATCTTTTGCGTTGCTCTGTTTCCAATTACTTTCTTAATCTGTGATAGACTCTGTGGTATGTAAATGTCTACATTTCTTCTCATAGTTGCAAGCTTTGCATCTTCGCCTGCAATGTCATTTCCTATTATTCCCACATGACTTAGCACCCAGTTGATAAGTACCCATCGGCCTTGTCGTTTGAGTGTTTGCACTAATGATATGACATTTGTGATCAGATGTATGTTATCACACATGTGTTCTTGTTGCAAGGTTTCAATGGCGGTTCTCGAATTTGTATGTTCAAATGTTCAAAAAAAAATTCAAATGTTTATTCAAGTAAAGTACATACATACAAGAGGTTATACAAAAATTGATAGATTTATAGATAGAGCTAGTACATACAATGCCTAAAGCTACTATTACGCAAAGCGTTTCCGGCAGGAAAAACATTAAAGACTAAAACTTAATACTAATTGAAATTAAAGTATAAAATGTGTTGAGAACAAATAAAAATAAAAAAAGGGGGGGAACATGGCAGAAAAAGCAGCACAAATACAATTAGGTAGACAAACAGCGTTGTTTAAAAAATAAGACATGGGTTGATAATATAGGGGTAAGGTAGGTTCAAGGGAATTTATTAGGTAGTGCTTAGTTTTTATCTTAAATGTATGATAACATGTTGTCGGTGTTCAGCAAGAGCATGTTCCAAAGCCTTTTGAATGGCTAGCATCTCTGTTTGTAAAGTCGAACACCCATTTGAGAGTCTCCAACTATTTACAGAGTTTCCTGCTTTAACTGCAGCTCCGGTTTCTTGTCCCTGCTGGTCTACTGATCCGTCTGTGAAGTAAGTGAAGCTGTCGGATGCCAAGTTTGCTTCTATATGCATCTGTGCAATATTACGTAGCAGATGAGGATTTGTCTGGTTCTTTTTTCCTTCAATAACCATAATCTTAGTCTGCTGGCGGAGATTCCCAAGGGGATTGCATAACAAAGTCTGCATGTATTTCGTCGACACCCTTCTCAGTGACTGTGTTCTATTGAATGTATTGATGGTGTTTATCGCACAATGGGTTCATCTGTTGCTATTGGAGGCTCTTCTGTCCAGAATTAGTGCTCCAGTACTCACCTAGTTGTGCTTGTGGGGGTTGAGCTCTGGCTCTTTAGTCCCGCCTCTCAACCGTCAATCAACAGGTGTACAGGTTCCTGAGCCTATTGGGCTCTATCATATCTACACTTGAAACTGTGTATGGAGTCAGCCTCCACCACATCGCTTCCTAATGCATTCCATGTCAACCACTCTGACACTAAAAAAGTTCTTTCTAATATTTCTGTGGCTCATTTGGGCACTCAGTTTCCACCTGTGTCCCCTAGTGCATGTGCCCCTTGTGTTAAACAGCCTGTCTTTATCAACCCTGTCGATTCCTTTGAGAATCTTGAATGTGGTGATAATGTCCCCCCTAACTCTTCTGTCTTCCAACGAAGTGAGGTTTAATTCCTGTAGTCTCTCCTCGTAGCTCATACCTCTCAGCTCGGGTACTAGTCTGGTGGCAAACCTTTGAACCTTTTCCAGTTTAGTCTTATGCTTGACTAGATATGGACTCCATGCTGGAGCCACATACTCCAGGATTGGTCTGACATATGTGGTATATAATGTTCTGAAAGATTCCTTACACAAGTTTCTAAAGGCCGTTATGTTAGCCAACCTGGCATATGCTGCTGATGTTATCCTCTTGATATGAGCTTCAGGGGACAGAAAGTTTCTTGTTGCCACATCCAGCAGCTTAGCTCTCCATGTGTCTGGGCCTCCATGTGGGTCTCTGTTCCCCCAATCTATCTTCCCATGGTTGAAGTCTCCCATGATTAGAAGTCTGGATCCGTTCCTGCTAGCCACAGAAACTGCTCTCTCTTATATTGGTAGTGGCCAAGTTGTTTATCATATTCCTGTCTGGGTCTTCTGTCATTCGGTGGGGGGTTATATATGACCACTATTATAATTTTCTGTCCTCCAGTTGCTATGGTGCCTGATATGTAGTCACTGAAACCTTCACAGTTCTGAATTACCATCTCTTCGAAACTCCAACCTTCTCTTAGTAGCAAAGCTACACCACCACCACCTCCTCTCCCTTCTCTCTCTTTCCTCACTACATAGTAGCCCTGTGGAAACACTGCATTTGTTATGATTTTTGTTAGCTTTGTTTCTGTGAGTGCTATTATGTCTGGGTTTTCTTCTAGTGCCCATTCTCCAAGTTCACTTGTTTTATTTGTAATCCCATCTATGTTAGTGTACATTGCCTTGAAGTTCACTTTGTTCTGCTCATTTTCATGTCCCTTTCTTGGCGAGCATTCTGCTGGTGTGGGAAGCTGTTCCGTGGGTGAGAAGATCTGTGAGGTGGTTTGCAGGGTCTCGGAGGATTTTGGGGTGGGGGTGGGGTTTTAAGGGACGGGGGGACAGGTAGGGTGTGGGTTAAGGAGATAGGGGGGACATGGAGGATACGGGGTGAGGGGGGAGGAGGGATAGGGAGGGTATGGGATGAAGGGGGAGGGTGGACGGGGGGGAAAGGTGGGAGAGGGGACATGATGGGAATGGGGATGGGGTGTCAGGGTCAGAATGGGGTGGGGGGAGGGAGGGTTGGGTGGGGGCAGGTAGGGTGAGGGGAAGGGAGGGTTTCTATGCAGAGGGGGGTGGTGGTGTTGCCCTCCCCTCTGGTGTTGCTGGGATGTTGGTTTTGGGTTCCCCTCTTGTCTCTGGGACTGTTGTGTTGGGGGCTGTGATTTCCTGGTTTGCTCCTCTCTCCCTGCGCTTCCTCCTTGCCTCTGCTGCCCTGGCTCTCTCCTCCTTCGTCCTGTCCCTCTGCAGGAATACTTTTTTGTATCCCTCCACATGTTGCAGACGACTCTTCCTTTCGAGAATATCCTCCTTCGTGGTTTTGTTTGTAAACACCACCTTTACAAGTCTGTTTCTGTCCTTGTTGTACCAGCCCAACCTGAAAACCTTCTCAATGTTATGTACAGCCCCTTCCATCTCTATCTTTAAGTGAACCTGCTCTAGTGAGAATCATCCAGGTCTTTCTCTTTGTTCCACCTGCTCCATTTCAAGGCATGGATATACTGTAGACTAGAGCAGGAATTTTTATCTGAGAGGGAATTTCCCCCTTTCCCAGGGGAAGAATTTCAGGGTTTTGGGGGGGGGGAGGAGGGGGAAGGTGTGGAATTACATATGATGTAAGCTGTCTTCATGTGTGTTTAGCCTTTGCATAGCTACACTGACCATTTGTTGGCGCCAATTACCACCGCTGGTGCAATTGTAAGGACTCATAGCCTCAAGAAAATAATGTTCGGAGAAGACCTTGTGGATTCTCGCTTCCTTTTGTGTTTTGTTGTGCTTTATAAGATATTTTAAGGCTAAAAGATGTACATTGGTTAATACAATGAGTATTTAAAGGTATGGATCTCTTAATTGGAGCTCCTCCGCTTCTGGACAGGAACCGAGGATGCAGCAGGCGTTTCCCCTCTGGATGTCACAGAGGCGCTGAAACAATAAACTGGCAGCCCTTGGGTCTCTGGTGATGTCAACGAGCCTGGAACAGAATTCATTGATTAATCCTCGGGCATTCCTTCCCCGAGCTTCTCAGATGCTATGGGAACAAAGGTGTATTGGTCTACTAATCACCTGTATTTGATTGATTTTGCCATTTCTGTGGTTGGCTGACCCACCTGATCAGCACTGAAGTATGTGTCTGCCAGGGTGGAGACAAATGTGTAGTCCCACACCAGCTGTTTGCCCTTCTTCCAGGGGTATATTGTGATACCATCTTTGAAGTTTGGGGTCATCTGCATTTTGGTCCACTAGAATGCGAGGTCCTCTCTCCACTGGGTACTGAGCTGAGGCAAGGCTCCTCTTGATGTCATTAACCTCATTGTGTCTTGCATGCCAGCCCTTGGAGCTTCCACAGTGCAACCCATGCAGTCTATATGGGTCTGCTTGCACCCTGTTGCAAATACACTTGTACAGTGTGAATTAGGGCACCAAGGCAGAGGGCCACTGTTACAAGAAGGGACTCTGGATCTAGACACATGCCTGTTGCTGACATGGATACCACCAGAAGGAAGTCCCCTGCATGAGGGGGGGGGGCCCCAAGCACTGCTCTGAGGCAGGCTTTCTTCTTATCTGATGTTGCAGCGCTGAGAATGGCAGCAGCTATTTTGTCCACTAGTGGGTGATCCCAGCTGGACTTTTTATCTATGATAGGTGCTGGTGGCTGCAAGAGCATCCCACTGATTTGAAATTTCAGAGAAAGCAGGATCATGTATTCCTGCCGAGTCTCACAGGGTTCTGGTATGATCTCTCTTTACAAGGTTGTACTATACAGTACATGGAAGGAGGAAAAGAAGGCTGGTAGAGCAATCTCGGAGGCTGCCTAGTCTTACAAGGAAGGCTGCTTGCTCCCAATGAGAGTTGTCCATCAATACGTTTATATTTATATATTGAATATTTTAGGAGGACTAGTAGTGCTAAATTTTTCTAAATTCTGTAGATACTAGTACAGTGCAGAGGGAGGAGTAATTGCTGTCACTAACTAATGCAGTCTCTGTGGCACAGTGGTAAAACACTCGCCCGGCACTTCGCAAGCACTTTGGCCTGGGTTTGTATCCTGGCCGGGAAGGATTGACTGGGTGCCAGTCCTTAACTGTAGCCTATGTTCACCCTGCAATGGATGGGTATCTGGTTGTTAAACGATTTGGTGGGTCATATTCCGGGGAAAAATTAGGATTAAGGACCTGCCCGAAATGCTATGCATGCTAGTGGCTTTACAAGAATGTAAGAACTCTTGTATATGTAAATAAAAAATAAAATAAATAAAATACTTTACAATGCTATTTTCCAGTACAGGCCATTCTCACCAGTTGAGTGTGTGCTGCCTAAGTGTTTACTATATCAAGAGTAAAATAACCTGTACTTAATCCCCATAACTTACTAAGCAGATTTTGTAGTTTCAGACTTATATAATGTCCACATCAAAGTGCCTCATTGAAATGGCTTATTTGTACATTTGAACGTACATATTATCTAAATGCAATACTCTACTGTATGATGCATTGATGGTAAGTAAAGATTGATGAGTAATAGGGAGAACTTTATACACTGAATTTGATAATCTTCTTTATATGGATACTATGGATGTCATATGGTATTGTTGATACTTGTGTAATGCTGCTTTGGCATAAATTATCAGATTTAGATTAAAATTTTAATGGGAATAATCATAAATTGTATGATGTTGCTAGTGCATCAGGACAATTACAATATTTTATTCTGGAAAATGAGTACCTTAATTGATGTATTACAATACAATACAATACAATTTTATTTAGGCAAGGTACATACATACAATAAATATTTACAAGGATTGTTTGACTTATAGGTATAGCTAGTACATACAATGCCTAAAGCCACTATTACGCAAAGCGTTTCGGGCATGACAAACTTAAATGACAAGCTTAATACTAATTGAGCATAATGAGTAGAATGAAAACAAGAAATGAAAACATAGATGAAAAAGCAGCACAAATACAATTATGTCGACAAACAGCGCTCTTTAAAGAAAAAAACAGACATTGGTTGACAATAGAAGGGTAAGGTAGGTTACAGGGAATTTATTAGGTATAGCTTCGCTTTTAACTTAAACTGGTTGAGAGAGGTACAGTCTTTAACATGGTTGGGAAGGTCATTCCACATTCTGGGCCCCTTGATTTGTAGAGCATTTCTAGTTTGATTAAGTCGTACTCTAGGAATATCAAAACTGTATTTATTTCTGGTGTGATGCTCATGGGTTCTGATACAACCTTCTATGAAGCTTTTGAGATCAGGATTGGCATTATAGTTTAGCGTTTTATACATGTATAATACACATGAGAGAATGTGCAGTGACTTAATGTCTAACATATTCAGAGATTTAAGTAGGGGTACCGAGTGATGTCTGGGGCCAGAATTGGATATTGTCCTAATAGCAGCTTTGTGTTGAGTAATTAGAGGACGTAAGTGATTTTGGGTAGTAGAGCCCCAAGCACAAATACCATAGTTGAGATATGGATAGATAAGGGAGTAATAGAGAGTCACCAGGGCAGGGCGTGGTACATAATATCTGATCTTAGAAAGAATGCCCACAGTTTTTGAAACTTTTTTTGATATGTTTAGAATGTGTCCCTGGAAATTAAGCTTGTGGTCAATGAGAATGCCAAGGAATTTGCCATCTAATTTGTTACAAATTTGGGTATTGTTTATTTTGAGATTTATTTGATTAGAGGATTTATTGCCAAACAGAATATAAAAGGTTTTGTCAATGTTAAGGGTGAGTTTGTTGGCAGTTAGCCACAGATGGACTTTATTTAGCTCAGTATTTACTGTGGCATTTAGAGCAAGGGGATCAGGACTGGAGTAAATGAAGGTTGTGTCGTCAGCAAATAGAATTGGTTTGAGGTGTTGGGAGGCATTTGGAAGGTCATTAATGTAGATGAGAAAGAGGAGAGGGCCAAGTATGCTGCCCTGGGGAACACCAATGTTGATGGGTAGGGTGGGAGAAATTGTATTATTCACAGAAACATATTGGAGCCTGTCAGTAAGGTAGGATTTGAGGTATTGTAGGGAGTGTCCTCTGACTCCATAATGATGTAATTTAAGAAGAAGGTTTTGGTGGTTGACAGTGTCAAAAGCTTTACGCAGGTCCACAAACAACCGAACAGAGAACTCTCTTTTATCAAGAGCTGTATGAATCGAGTTAAGCATACTAATAAGTGCATCGTTAGTGCTTTTTTTGGGTCTGAAGCTATATTGGCAAGGGCTAAGTATATTGAGTTTGGCTAGATATGAGTAAAGCTGCTTATAGATTAGTTTTTCAAAAATTTTTGACAAGTTTGGCAGGATAGATATAGGTCTGTAGTTGTTAACATCTGTGAGATTACCACATTTGTGGACAGGCGTAACTCTCGCTTTTTTTAGAATATCTGGGAAGGTTTGGAGTTCAAGTGACTTGTTGAAGAGCAAAGCAATAGCAGGGGCTAAAGATCTGGAGGCTTTTTTGTAAATTAAAGTTGGTATCTCCTCAAGGGCACCAGACTTGGTTTTAAGGGAAAGGATTATCTCATTGACGTCAGTGGAATTAATAGGCTTTAGGTACAGAGACTGTGGATAGTTACCTGAAAGATAGTCATTAATGTCTGTACTGGAAGATGGAATATCATTTGCAAGGGATGAACCTATTAATTTCTTTGTATTGGTAATCAACATTGATGAATTACACTTGTGATTTTGAAATATATAATATAATGTGTTTATCTCTGCATCAGGAACACTGCCAGAATGGCTGAAGGGTCAGTTAATTTATAATGGACCAGGCCAAACCAAAGTTGGGTCAATTGAATATTGTCATGCTTTTGATGCCTCAGCATTACTGCAAAAGTGAGTACTGTACATCACCTTTACTACCAGCCTCTTTTCTTTACTGATGATTTTTCATATATGCCACTGCTTTTTACTCTTATGTTTCTGGACTCTTCCCACATTTTATATTCATTTGGAATGATAATCTGTCCTTCACATTGTGCTTTTTTTTTTTTTTTTTTTTTTTTTTTTTTAGCAAATAACCTTTTGTGAGAGACTGTGAAAAGTTAAATGAGATGTAATTGTAATAAATATATAAAAGAGTACAGTTTTATAAGTAGTGCAGATGGCTTCATTCTCAAATTGCAATCGAGGATCTCAGGTTTGATTTCCAAGCAAGGCACAAATGGTTGACACATTTTTTTTCACCTATTGTTTCTGTTCACATAGCAGCAAATGGGTAAACCTAAATAAATCTAAATAAACTTATTATTATTCTTATTATAAGTACCCAGAAGTTGGGCAATTGTTGTGGGGATTGTATCCTGGGGAAGGTCAAAAGTTTATCCTAAGGTGGATATCGATACAAGCCTAAAATACATAATGTATATACACAGGCTTCCTGTCCCGACAGTAAGAATTATATCAAATGTTAAGTAGCACTTTTAATAAGTGGTACATTGTGGTATTGTGAATTTAAAAATTAATGAAGCCAAAGTTACTTGGCAATGGGTATTTCTGTGATTAAAAAATCAGAATTTACTGAAAGGACAATACCGAGGCTAAACAACAATGTTAACAGATGGCAATTTAACTGGTATGAATTCAGTTCAACTTGGCCTGGACAGGTACTGATAATGTCAAAGTAAAATGAGTAAAAAAAATCTTGGTGGCAAGGGGAGGGGGGTGCGTATAGAATGGAAGTGCAGGTAATAATATAATTTTATTTATAAAAAATACATGTGATTACTGTACTGTATAAATTGTAAACACAGTACTGTATTTATATTTGTAGTCACTAATCACTTGCAGCATTTTGGTCAAACATAACACTAATATTTTTTAGATAAATTAGAACTTGATACTAAGAGATGCAAGTTAAAATACTAAGGGATTAATTATAATTATGAAGTATAGCTGCAAGTATTTGTCTGTTTCTCTTCAGGTTTGAGATTTCTGACGGAAAGGTAATGTACAGCAGTCGTTTTGTGCGCTCAAAGACCTACGAACAGAACAAAGCCGCTGGCACAATCACACGGGCAGAGTTTGGCACCCCTGCTCCAGCCACAAAGGGAATGTTTTCAAGGTGAATTAATAAGTTTCAAAGGTATAACATTGTATATTACGAGCAGTTAGTTTAGTCTAGTTCATTTATTATGCACCCCATACCCATCTTGTGGGCAGTAGTGGAAAGGGTTAGAGGCACATAATGGGCTCAGGGATATGTGAATTCTGAGACAGAATTCAGAGAGAATTCAGTGCTCTTTACAAGGTTATAAGAGAGGCTGTAGTAAATTATACAAGTATAATTTACCATATTTTCCCAAAAAGCTAAGTTTGATTTGGTATTGCATGTACAAACTATACAAGCATCACATATTCTGTACTGCTAAATGCAGTTTCTAGTCAAATTTCATGCTCTTATAGTTTAAAACTTTACATGATGGAATCCTTTCCTTTTCTCAACAGATTTTTGGATGCCATGGATCCTGAAAAGTTGTTTTCTGACAATGCATTAGTTTCAGTCATAGGTATTGGTGAGCACCACTTTGCAATGTGTGAAACACCATTTATGCTGGAAATCAACCCAGACAATCTTGACACAAAAGAAAGAGTATGTAGTAAAATATTTCTTTTACTCCATATTTTGAGTTACTTGAGTATATATTCTCTATAATTTATGCATTAAAGGTATATAATGAAAGACCTGATTAAATATTCTGGATAATTTGACTTAATTTTTTCTTGACATCCTCAGATCAATGTCAACAAGAGGTATGGGTTAATGACTCAGAGCCCACATCCCATAGTAGCCAGTGATGGAGTGTATACTGTTGGTCAGGGCGTGGGCGTGACAGGACCAAAGTATAACATTCTTAAATTTCCCCTTGATGGTATGTATAACATGTATGATTGTTGACATTATATATAAAATAACATTACAAATTGTATGTAGATTGTGAAAGATCTTCATATGAGGCAGATTTTTGTTTGAGTTTAGATACATGGTTATTAGATTCTGACAGAAGTGGCTGTCACTTAGTCCTACAGGTCGGTTACAGTCCTACAAAATATTTGATATATGATATGAGCCTATATACCTATATATGATAGTGCCCAGTAGGCTCAGGAATCTGTACATTAGTTGATTGACAGTTGAGAGGTGGGACCAAAGAGCCAGAGCTCAACCCCTGCAAGCACAACTAGGCGAGTTCAAAACTACAGTATACAGATTTTGCTCACTTATTCAGATCATGTGGGGTAAGCCCCAATTAGTTGCTTAGATATGTCACCCGATTTCTTATGGCAAGTTCTCAAGGTAAGTGTAAACATAATCCACAAACATTGTGGGAATATGTATTTACAGTATAGTTATTGTAGCATCATCATAAAAATAAATAAAATGGAACTAAAATAGCAGGATTATCACTGGAATTAACAGCTCTCTTGATCACCATCAGATTGGAATGCTGATATCATGATAAAGTACCAGTAATATACCATACTTAATGTAGATAATTTTTTCTAAATTTAGCTTGCATGACGGCAGTACTGCCCAGTAAAATTACTTGCTGGGCATTGTTGTTTAGCCTCAGTACCGTCCTTTCAGTAAATACTGATTTTTATATTCTCTCTACTACTGTATTTTCCTTTTAGGGACCTTGTTATTCATAATTATACTGTATTCTTAGAGATATTATGAATATTTTCACTTGACAGGTAATTTGAAGCAAGGAAAGATTATGGCATCTGTACCATCACGCTGGCGACTGTCTCCAGCATACATGCACTCGATGGCCATGACTGAAAATTATGCTGTGCTGATTGAACAGCCATTAGCAGTGTCCCTCTCAGAGCTGTTGAGTGATATTGTCAGCAATGCACCATTCATTGCTGGTCTAAAGTGGCACAATGAGCCAGTAAGTGTTGAAAAAACTTTTATATTCTTTAAGCTCAATGCTTCACAGATTAAGAAATTTTAAGTTTAATATAAAGTTTGTGGTAACCTTTGGGAGTAACATCTAATTTGCATATTCATTCATTGCGAAGGTATTAGTTTTGATCTCCAGTAGTTGCAGTTTATGCTTATGTACAGGTAGACATGTTCCTTAATTAAGCACACCGACACAAAATAAGTACAGTATCTGCTTAGTTAGTTTAGACTCCCTCAACATCTTTCTGATTGTTTTGTATTCTTTTCTTTCATAAAACACTATATATCAGTACTTATTAAAGCTAGATATTTAAAGACTGTACCTAGAAAAAACCTTGGAGGTTCATAGGAGTGAACAATGACTAATCATGTTCTACTAAATACATAAAAATAATTAACAATTTAATAATACACGTTTTGTCATGAATGGTAAATAATATGTGGTAGAAAATTATTAGATGTACAGTATTTCAAACAAAATTTACAAATCGCATGGAAAATTAGATCCTTCAGTTTTTCAAAAGTATGTAATAAACACAGCATGTAGTAGCAAATAAAATTGTAATTAAGCCTGTTGCTTGTTGAGCTTGCAACCATTACTCCTTATTTGTGTACAAACCATCTGCCACTAACTTTATATAGCTTTCCAAAAAACTGATTTGCTATCCTATTTCAGAAAAACAAGTGACTTGAATGATAAACATTATTATTAAACAAATTTACTGAAATGATAGTTAGCTATCATTGATAGAATGAAAGCAAGTAATATGCAGAGCACTTTTGGCATAACTCAAAATAATTCATTTGAAGTAAGCTAACATACATGAATTGTTAACGAAATTAGCGAATGATGTGCAGATTTTAAATGATAATGTTTAATGACTTAAACAATTTTATTAGAGAAGCTGAAATTTTAGCTTCAATTGCCTTAAAGGCTACAGTGTAGTCAGTTGTTTATAGTTTAGTGATGAGCAAACCACACATCAGAAGATGGGGAAACGATGACATTTTGGTCCGTCCTGGACCACTATCAAGTCGTATGTTCAGGACGGACTGAAATGTCATCACTTCTCCATCTTCTGATGTGTGTATTGGTCATCATAGCTTCAGCCACGTTATTGTGACTCGTCATCTGTATATAGCTTAGTGTTGATATTTGTAAGTAAATTTATTTTTATTTTTAGGTTCTCATTCATATTATTGATAGAAGAACGTGGAAACAGGTGAAAACAAGATATGTTGCAGACCCTTTCTTCTTTATGCACATAGCTAATGCTTATGAAGACGGTGAACACATTGTGCTTGATGTACCAACTTACAAGGATTCTTCACTTCTACATAATATGTTCATTAGTACCCTTAGAGTAAGTTTTCAAATTACTGTAAATAGATTTTAGCATACTATTATTGGCTAATTTGTTTATCGGTACCATCTCTGCTAAATATGAGAAGTATTTAAGTAGGGAAAATTTCTCTACTTAAATACTTGATTAATACTGTACTTATACATAATTCATGATGAAGCATTTATAATTTTAATAGTTGTAGCTTTGTGATAAATTGCAGTCCCGTAAGTCATAGTAAATGTTACAGAATGTCTGCAGGCTAAACAAGTAAGTTTGTAGTACAGTACTATGTATGAATTACTTAGACCGCAAAATCTAGTCCTCATGTTGAAAATTCTTGGCTTTCATCTTCTGGTTATCATAATCATATGGCTTTTAGCCTGCAAGCTACACGAGATGTGCTGTTTGAGAACTACGTGCTAAGAAGTCACGTAAATGATACAAATACACTAATACAGTAATTTAACATCAACTCTTATAAGAGTATTATTTAAAATATTTTAAGTGTGTAATTCATTTGGCAAACTTAATGAACACCCGGGCTTACAGGAGCAACGAGGGAAGAATGCACAAGATTACGTGGATTCGTTTAAGTCAACACTACACAGATTTGTTATCCCTCTGAACACCAAAGGAAAGGAGAAGTTAGTGACACTGCCAGGAACATCTTGCACTGCATCATGGTCTGCTCAAGAGGTATGGCAGTAACTCAGGTTTACTAATATTGATTACCTCAAAATTTTGAGGTATTGTTTAATATTGCCAAATGATTCAGATTTTGATAATTTTAATAATACAAAAAAATTAAAGCAGTTATGGTAATGAAAACTGTTTTTATTGTTAACTGGAGCAAATTTGCTATCTTAAGCTATTAAATCAGATGGGAAAGCTGTACTGTAATGCCATTGTGATTTTTAACTATTAATATTGTTAGTGGTGATCTCGTGCTAGTAGCGAAGGTGGTGGGAGCAGTGGTGGTGTATGTACTATGGTGAATACTATATGATGTCTGTGTGGTAAAAAATGGACAAAGTATCAATGCACAAATTTAGTGTTGCTGAGCTGTTTGCAAAATACAGTAACAATATTGTCTATACTTGGGAGATCCAAAGCCCAATCAAAGTACCATGGCTGAGGAACCATCTACTTGCAGACTGTGTTAAGTGAGCCAGATCACTATGGGAGCAGGTTGTGTACAAGACAATACACAGGGCAAAAGATATGTAAATTAATGAGTGCTGTGGTGTAAGTGTGTGACATTGTGCTATGCATCACTGATTGTTTCCAAGACTATCACACTGTCTAGAATGTCACAAGACTATCACTGCACAATTGTTCGCCATCTAAAGATGGCGAACAATTGATCTCCTTTGACTGCACAGTACATATTACTATGTAATATTGAAGTGCAATTATCAGACTTGCTGTATTCGCTATTTGTTGACCCATGAAAGGTTTTTGACATAAAGCATAAAATATGTAAGGGCTAATTACATTGTTTACATAGTAGGTATTTATATTTCTTATAAAGCTAATAATCATGTATACATTTAAGGCAAACCTTTGTATTAACATAAATAAATGTGAAAATAATTTTCATGCTAATAGTATACACTTTCACAATCTCTAAAACATAAATGCCTATACAATACCCGTACTGCACGTAAAAATTGCTCGTAACATCTTGCAAGTGGACAGTGAAAGAGTGCAAATGGGACACACTTCAGGACATGAGGGAAAAAATTGCTGTCGGGGGACACAATGCTTGTACTGTGTTTAGGCTAGGGAGGTTTGTCCTCCCTAGGTGAAACTATTGACCTTCTCCCGGATACAACCCACAACAGTTGATCAACTCCCAGGTAAATATTTACTGCAAGGTGAATGTGAGGCATCAGGTGAAAAGAATCTTGCCCAAATATGAGTGGAGAATGTAGACCAGTTTACCACAGGGCTCAAATGAGATAGAATAGGTTCTAGTTTAATAACCTTTTAATCTTTGTCTTGATAATCACCTCGGAAGAAAACTTCTGAGGAAAAGGTGGCAACAAAAATATAATATATTGATGAATAATAGTATAAATTAACTGACATATTAGGGATTAATAATGTTCTTGTACTGTAATAACTATGATTTATAAATTTCCCATAATATTTACAGATTGTACTGCAATGTGAGAAACTGACACGGATTCCTATTGAGAACCCGTGCATTAACCCAAAAATAAGGTCCTCAAAGCATCAATATATCTGGGCTATGGGCCCAGATCCTAATGGTGGAGATTCAGGTTTTGTAAGTACAGTACAGTATTATGCAAACTGATTTGTACATGTAAGTTTGTAAAATAATGAATGAGCAATGGATTAATAATTACTATCCTGAGTTTTATGTACAAGAATTCTAACATGTTGGAGTAGTTTGGACTGGTTTTAATTTTGACGAGACATTTATAGTTTAACCCCCACAAACACACAACACAATTAGGACATTGCTACAACATTCAAACAAGTTGTAACAGCTATTGAAAATGTTATGAAAAATTTAACTTTCTTGTATACTGTGTCATGTTTGGTAACTGCTATTGTTGTTGACTTTTGAGTGTGTAGTGTATTATAGAAATAATATCCAAAGTGGTATACATTAAATCCATTTGAAATGTACACTATTCCCATAACATATGTCCAGTGTGAATTTAAAGTAAATTAAATTTAATGGTCACAAAAATGTTTATTTCTTACAGGTGATAAAGCTGGATGTTACCTCTGGAGAAACTTTCATGTTCACGGAAGACAAGATTTATTGTGCTGCGCCAGAATTTGTAGCAAAGCCAAATGCTGTTGTAAGTATTTCATTACGCAGGGCAGTTTAATACAGTGTACATAAAAATGGCATAATATGACTCTTATATCTGATGACATGTCTTTGGATCACAGGCAAAATTTCACACAACATATTTTTATAATTGTCTTGTATTCCGGCATTTCTATGTACTTGCAGCATCCGTGCAATTTTTCAAGGTAAGTTTTGAAGTGCAAAAAAATAAATAAATGGACTGAAAATTAAATTTTTTTCAGTGTGTTTTTCATCAGTTTTATTATTGATCAAAGCATGTCAAACTGCTTCATATATTCTAAAAAGATGGTTGTGCAACATTGAAGAAATTCTCACAAAGCCAAATTCTTTCATGCCAGTAGTTAAATGATCCATGCACAAATCATAATTTTTCACTCCTTATAGTGAATCCTCTTAATATCTACAAATGTTTACCAGAGAGTAAATGAAGATAATGCAGTGATAATGATTACATTGCTGTGACAATATAATCATTATCACTACATGGCTTCTCATTTGTGTGGGATAGGGAAAGATTAATTAATTAATTGGCTTTTAGTATGGAGAAGGTAGAGAAGATGGGTTAACAGCCTTCTTCCACTATATTACTGGCCATACAAGTCTGCTTGCACCACCAAGTAGTAGATTACCAAATTCATATGGCACGCTTAAGACATAATAATTCAAAATTTTGGATGGTCCAATGTCATACAAATTGTATTTATCTTCTTTAAAGAGTGAAGATGATGGAGTTATCCTGCTGCAGTGTGTTAATTCACAGGATGAAAAAAAGACATATCTTCTGGTGCTTGATGCGAAAAATATGACTGAAATATGTCGAGCATCAGTAACTACTACATCTTCTGTTCCAATGCCCCTTCATGGTCACTACATCCCAGTCATTGGACAGTAGGCGATCTGTGTTTCTTAGTTTGTATAATCAATGGTACTATATATGCAATTTTAAAATCAGTCGTATCATGTACAACATATACTTTTGGCCAAGTTAGATTGCTTTTATATATTGGTGTTACTTGGATGATAACAATACATGCCATAATTGCAATTTTATATTTATTATACTAATGAAATGTGTATAAGGTTCATAGCATTCCTGTGAAGTAAGGCACATGTTGATGAATGTCTTGAGAAATAGTGTTATCATTGTGGCTTAAAGATAACTTTATTGAAAATTTTAACAAATATCTGAAGACCTCATTTTGTGAAAGGTTTTGTATATAATTTCCATTGTGTAGAGGTTATTTCTGTAAAGCTTTAATATTAAAATACACCAAAAAAATATACAGTAGCCTTTCTCACCTACCATGTAAATCAAAACAATCTTTCATAAATGCTCACCGAATGCTCAAATAGTCGGTTATTACTTAACGATTCAGCACAACCTCCTGCTACTAGAAATAAAAACTGGGCAATGGTAAAGTTTAAAGAGTATAACTGTCACTTTGCTATCTCATTGTTTACTTTTAAGGGCTACTAAGAAGAAAATTTTTATTTAGTGCTAAAAACATTGACCCGGAGCTGCCTTCAAATTGGCGATAAGTGGAGAAAGCAGTTCAAAGGTGTATTTTAGTGGTGTTGCTTCATTTCTCCTGATCAGGGTTTACTTTGGGTGCTGTACAGTTTTCCTTTCTTCAGTACCAACTTCTGTTAGTGACAGAGTAATTCTTCATGGGTACCAAGCACGGCTTTAATTCTCCACTACAGAAACTTCTGCTATGACTTTTTCAAGGAAATATATAATCAAACATCATCCTTCAACCCTTTGGTTTTGTATTATTGGGCACAGGAAATCTGTTAGACTTGCAAAGGTTCTTCTAGGCCAACAGCTGACCTTCCTTAGGATGAAATCCACAATAGTTGCTTAACATGTGTACATATTTACTGCTAGGCAAAGAAACATTAGGTGAAAGTAAATATGCCATTTCATCCTGAGCAAAAATTATACCTGGAACCTTTCAATTGTGAACAGATTGTGAAGCACATGTAAAATGAAAGTCTGTGTGGATTGATATTCATGGACTGATATGCCTACTTTGGGTTTCACATGCATGTCAATCACCTGCAAATGGAATGCACCAAGGCACTTACCATACTCAGTCTTGTTGAATACTTACTGGGATGCATATACAGACACTTCACCTACCATGAGTTTTTACATTAGTGCTCATCACTAGAGTATGCAAATTTTACATGTTGCATAACATTTCCCTCATGTACCAATTTAACCAGGCCTCTCACTTCGAATAAAAGGCCGTATTACCATCAGTAAAATCATCTTGTTATGCATAACAAATGACATTTTTTAATTAATAGAGCTTGAACATAAAATAATTCGTGGGAGGAAAGAAGAAGAGTTGATGTAGGGTGTATTTAAAAAATGGCTTGGCATCCATTGAGTTCCTGCTTCACCTCCCAGCTAAGCACAAGTTTCCCAAGTGGTCCAGTGAATTATCCACTTTGAATTCCACTTTTTAGCAATTAAAGGAAAAGATTTCAAAAGTTTTCTTAATGTGTGTATTTCAACATAATTTATATATCTGACAGTAACTGTAATATTAGAAACGGGGGAGAAAAAAAAAGTTATACAGTTCTGTGCTTTATTAAAACCAATGACAAACTAAAGTGATGTGGAAATGTGAAAGAATAGGTACATGATACATATGTATACTGTCATTTTTGACTGCCATATCAAATTTAAAGTTTAAAAATATATTTTAATGTAAATGATGTACTGTAATAAAAGGTTTAATGATGCAGTTAAAAATTAATGCAATGTTGAATAGATGACATTTATTATGGTATCATGATAGTAGTTCACCATATCATATCATATAGGCAATTATAAATAAACTTCCCTCGTAATATTGCACATGATGTGATACTCGTATGATTTCAAAGAACCAGTAAATTTGTTGAGGATTTAGATTAGGTATTGCATAATATATGGATTAAGGTTCCTGTGAATTTATCTTGAAAAACTTACAACCCATAATGAAAACAGATTTAATATATTGCTGAAGCCTTTGTTTATAATCCCTGGTCATGAATCACAGTTCAAATTAGCAATTCTATATTGCTTTCCCTGAACTGAGACCGAGGAAAAACTGCATCAGCCGAGTCTAAGGTCTTTACTATATTTTTGAAAACTTACTTGTGCAACATTGACTGGCTTAATGTATATTGGAAAAATCCAAAATCCTACAGATAGTTACTGTATATAGGTTGGGGGTGGTAGTTCCCAATATTTTCTCAGGCAATGTTAACAGTTCCAGGCTTCCTAGCTGTTTTATTGACATTATGCCCTTGTCAGTTGGTCAGTGTTTAATCAACCATGTATAAGCTTGTGATGTGTAAGCACTGTAGGTTTGCAGGACAATATGAATTAGAATGTAGTGAGAAAAGTATAAAATGGCCCTGTGGCCATTTGGACACAGGGGGCCACAATTTGCCAGGTCACAATTGGCCATAATTGTTGCTAATTGTTGTGAACAGAATGGACCATATCACAGATGAGTCCATCACTCAAAGTAAGCACCATTGGGTCTTAACAGTAACTGGATGGATGACTTTCCAGACAGCATTTTCCTTGGCTAGAGACTTTGATAAAGCTTAGACTTTGTTCTTGAGAACAGTTTTCCAGCAAGGAAATATACCCCTCCCCCACATGTACATGCGTCTTTATTTTGGACGAGCACTCATTTTCCCCTGGCTATAAGTTTGTGGCCAATCCTTAAAAATTAATCAATCTGACCTGTAACAAATATATTTTATCACTTGCCACTGACAAAATGACTTGTGAACACTAAGTAAACCAAATACTGTATATTGGAGTATCAGGAAGGTAATGAAGCAAGTTAAATGGGATTTATGTGGTAAGGTGCCCAGACTCCAACCATTGTCTGCAATTACTGCTATTCCTGGAGCTCAGCTAACTTAGCTGGATATACTGGGGCTACTACAGAATCAAATTAAAGCCTAACTATTTGAGTTCAGTAGTACTATCTCACAATTGTATGGTGGCAGCTTTGAATGGGTCTGGAGAAGCCCCCCCTTCCCCCCAGTAGAAGCACGATGTTTATCTGTTGGTACTGCTAAACCTGAAGATTGTGCCTGGCTTTTGAGATCCATACTGACCTACTGGGAGGGGGACAAAAATATGGCGTGCTCTGAGGTGAAGGGAGCATGATCAGATCTACCCTAAATTGAGGAAACCAACCAGAAAGGTTAGGAAAAACATAAATTACTACTTTAAAGAAATGAAAATGAAGAACACAAAACAAAATAAATGTACCATAATTTGAATGCATTAAATACAGTATATTGAAATGCCATTTTCTAGTAGGCTCTCAATAGTTCCCTGTCCCTACCCTGTTTTTATGGTTCACCTCCCCCCCCTCCCTTTTCTTTTTTTTTAGGGAAAAGGGGGGGGGGGACAGGTTTTTTAGTACCAGTGGCCTGTGAGCATGTGATGTGCTGGAGGTTGCCATCTGGTTGCAACTGGGTGAAGCAGGGTTAGTGTTGGTCACCCACGGTAAACTGTTGTTTGACATTTTCATTTGGTGGGTTGTTTTGTCTCCTGCCATATTTGGTTAGCATCCTCAGTTCTGGGTAGATCTGATCCAAGCTTACTTGGATATATTTTAATTGTTCACAAGTAATCTGTTACATTACCTATGCCTTAGCAATATCAGATATCCAACATGCCTGAAAACTAGCTTGTAGATAATAGATAAATGAATGTCCCTGTATGGTTAATAGACAATTCTTGTAGAGGTTTACACAGCAGGTCTTCGATTTGGAGTTGTTTGTTTAATTTAGCTTCCATAGATACAAAATATAATTTTTATCACTTAATTTAACTAGTAAATAATAATTATAATTAATAACATTGTTATTCACAAGTACCCTACTAAAATCATCCCCTTAATATGTAATAAAAGTTTTAAACAGGCTTTTGTATGAAATATTACCAGTCTCTACCCAAGTTCTAAAATGGCACCAGGCTTAAGAGTTTTAACAGGGATCATTAAGCTGAACGATCTTGTCTTAGAATACAATATTCCACTTAATGTAAGCATGCTAGAGCAAAATGGACATAAAAATCAAATTCATCTTCAATAAGATGACAAATTGTTTACAATCTGATATAAAGTGCAAGCTACGGTGATCACAAATTGGGAATGTAGTCAGCTGGATCAAGCATGAGATGAAGTGGTTCTGACACAAGAAACTAGCAGCTTACTTGAATCATTGATTTATATATTCTTTATAAGCTATTTAAGATAATTATTACAAGAAAGCTTAAAAATAATGTTGAAACCTTGGGCATTAAAAACCCAGATTTGAATGTAATGAAATGCCAATATCTGGAGAAGCCCCAGTGGCTCCCTGAAGCAATCTTCCTGAGATTGCTTTATACTAAAAGGTCTCATTAGCTGCGGGAGTTCTGTTTGGTCTACCAGGGACCAGAGCCTGGGCCTTCAAAGAAACACAGGGAGCAGGGTCTTGTCGCCCCATTACAAAACCAATCCAGTCCCTGAATCGGGATGTGCCAATACGCGTCCCGGAGGTTCAGAGACACCATCCAAGCATCCAGCTCCAAAAGAAGCCGGACCTGGGACAGAGTGGTCACCCGAAAGGATGGGCAAAAGACCTCAGGGGTTCAGATGGAACAAGTCCAGAATGACCCTCAGCTCCACACAGTCTTGTTTCGGGACCAGAAACAGGCAGGAAACCTACCTGAGGGATGAAGTCGTTTCGACCATGCCCAAGTACACCCACTCCAAGATGACCTGACAGAGCGCAGGAGAAGAGGCCTGCCCTGTGAACCCCGAATCCCCTGAAGGAGAAGGAGCCACCGAACGCCGCCGCAGGTCTGTTGAAACGACCCAAATTGCCCACAAATCGTGGGATCAGGTGTGAGCAAACAGAGTGAGCCTTCCCCCCATCACCCTATCAACAGGGCGACCCGCGAAAGGGCCGACACCCCTTACGAGAACCCTACCAACATGCAGAGTGATCACCACGCCAACCAGACACTGTCGGTTCCGAAGGAAGCGCCAACTCTGAAATTGGCACCACTGGCCCACCATGACCAGAGGAATCCCAAACCCTGGCATGACCCCTCCGGGAACGACCACCATGGCTACCCCGAAGAACCGACAAATCTGACATAGGGCGATCTTGTTATCTTGAGGTTATCTCGAGATGATTTCGGGGCTTTTTTTTAGTGTCCCCGCGGCCCGGTCCTCGACCAGGCCTCCACCCCCAGGAAGCAGCCCGTGACAGCTGACTAATACCCAGGTACCTATTTTACTGCTAGGTAACAGGGGCATAGGGTGAAAGAAGCTCTGCCCATTGTTTCTCGCCGGCGCCTGGGATCGAACCCAGGACCACAGGATCACAAGTCCAGCGTGCTGTCCGCTCGGCCGACCGGCTCCCCGGTCTATAGGAAAATATAATAAGGAATGAATGTCATGGAGAGATATGGAGGACAAAATTTAAAAACTTCAAGATTGAGAAGAGAATACCAAGAAGGTTTATGCATATTAAACAAAATGGATAATAGGTTGGTGAAGTGTATTTAAATGATTTTGAGAGAAGAAAACGACAAAGCCCAGAAAAGTGGATGGACATGGTGATTATGAGAGAAAGCAGGGAGACAGTGTGAGGGACAACATATTGGTGAGTGGCTTGGAGCTAGAAGCTCCAAGCTGGCTGGAGTGGCTTGAAGCGGCAGCTAGAAGCTGCCGCCTGCAGATACTGCAGAACCACATAATTTGCAAACAGCAATGGACAAAAAGGTGACAAAAATCAAAGAACAGAGACACCGCCTCCTTCAAAATCGGCGCAAACAACTTCAACAAGGCAGCTGATGCCTGAGCCACTGAGGTAAGTGTCAGGTACCGGACACAGGCCAGGTACCCAGCACCTCCACATCCTCCTCAAGCCAATACGAAGACAGCTCGAGCAGGGAAAAGAAATGCAAAAACCAAAGCCAAATGCCCCCGGGCATGCAAATCCTCAGCTACCAGGGGTGCCAAAAGGATGGGAATCTACATGTGAAGCTGCACCTGGCCGATATCCTTAGGAAGAATGGGGGCAAATAAGCATGCATTGAGGTGCTCCAACTCACCCCTCAGGTAAACCTTTACCCCCGTAGAAATTTCCCACCGTTCAAGCATGCAGGTCCGACAGAACGAGTACCACACCCCCAAAGAACAGAAAGGACAGTCTACTAAACAGGATGACTCCAGCACCATGTAATGCAGCCAATAAGGAAAAGTAGAACCGAACTCAAATGAGGAAGGGTCCATTATCGAGGCAAAATCCGGGTCACGCAGGAGGTAAGCCACAATGGCCTTAAGGGAGATGTGGGAGGCTGAAAACCTCTGGAAGGAAGGAACCGAAGAATCCAACGAAACCCGGAACTGAACCTCGGGGAGGAGCAGAACTCGTATCAAATTTGTACAGAGAGGAGGGTAAGAAAACCCCTTTTCCTGCAACAACAAGCCTCGTGCCGTGGGTACCAACACTCAATCGGGGTCAAATGGGTCCCAAGTCAGCTCCTCCCCAGCCCCGGGATCCTCCACACCAGGATCCAGGGCAGAGCCGTCCTCCAAACCCTCCGCCCCTAAAGAAAAGGCAGAGTCAACCGGAAAAGCTGGGAAAAGGAGGGTCTGCTGGTCAGACCTCAAAGACCTGGCTGGAGAAACAGGCTTGAATGCCTCCATCATCGAATCGGATGGGGCAGCCCCCAAAACTGGCCGAGTCTCACCATCCTCTAAGCCCTGACCCCGACTCCAAAACCCTCAGTCGTTTGGGAGCCGGCAGCAGGGAAAAGGGAAGGTGGGGGGGGGGGGGGGGGGTAGGACAACCACCAGGGAAAGGACGAGGTAGCGTGGACGAAACTAAAGTAGAAGCGACTAATGCCCCCAAGTTCGGGTCCCTATAACCAAAGTAAGGCAGCCTCGGGGCATCCGGAAAGGCAACCAACCTAGCACATTGCAGCAACCAAAACCTTGCATGCAATGCCAAAGCTGCCTGCACCAGATTATCAGTATCAGTGGACTGGATGAAGTGGAGTACCAGCAAGGAACACCACTCGCAGGACTCTGGGTCAAAGGTGTCATCGACTGAACAGACAGCATGACAGGTAAACCCAGTGAATGTCACCCTGAGACAAGGGAACAAAGCAACCCTCAAACTCACACAAGGTGAGATGGGACCCAGAGGACGCATCCATCAGATCGATGAGCCCCAATAGGGTTTTCTAAGGCCCTTAGACTAACTGCTAAGGGAAGCCCAGGCAGGGTACTGCTAACCGATTGGCCCAAGTAACGAGATAACTACTAAAGCTGAACCCCTGTGATGTATACAGTCATGGGGACCTTAGCAGGGGACCATCAGAAGAACAGAGGGTGGACAGTGACCAAGGGGCAGACCTCCACCAGGCAAGGAAACAAAAAGATAAGAAAAACACCACAAAAGCACAATGTCCCCAGGAGGAACAGAACCGGCCGCTGTGCATCAATGTCAGACAAGCTGCACAGTATCTTGCGCCCCTACCAGTGACGATACCACCTTCAACCCAAGGTCAAATAGCGGCTATGAAAACCCCAGTTGACCCCAAGGGCAGGCAATCACCAAGCAGTAATAGATCCCTACAGAGGTAGTTCCCCGAACGGCTTATGGAAGAGAATCCTAAACCACACGGGCAGTACTTACAGGGCACCTAGGAAAGGGAGCCCTAGGCACATGCAGCCCCAGTACCTCGTGAATTACTCCTGGCTCGCACACACCACAGCACAGCAGAACAACACTGCAAGGGCACAGCACTGCACCGAGTCTGGAGCCAGAGTCGAACAACCGCCACCAAGCACAACAGCCTCAGAACTGAGGTTGGATATCCAGTGCAGGGACCTGGAGCCCCCATCCCCCTCCTGGGGAGGAGAAAGCTGCGCAGGCAGGTGGTGCGGCGGGTGTGACGTCATGCTTGTTTGCTTGTTTTCCGTTTGTGGAGTTCTGTTTAGCATTTCGGGTTTTGGTAGCAATGTTTCACCAGTTGGGGTCTGTTTTGGGACACGTACCTTTCTGGGTGCCTAACCCGGTTGATGGCAGACATAGAATGCTTCCAACCACAGGGAGGTTTCTCTAAGCCAATGCTCCTCATGCCTTTCTGAAGGGGGCCAGGTTCTGACTCGTGGTCCCTGGTAAGTATTAGAACTCCATTTGAAGGACTGTTGCCATGGTCTAATACATGCATATCAGCCTGGTAAGCTCCGGGAGCTGGAGGGGCTCTCCACAGAAAACACATTTTCATACGGTCATACATTTTGCCATAAAATTTACCATCTAGATTCTGACCTGCTAAATAGAATAACTACCTGTATGTCCATTGGTGTCTACCACTGAGCCATTTCTCTCACTGTAATATACCAAATACATGCACACAAACAATACAGTGTTCTATATTTGTTCTATATCAATGCAGTGATATATTTTATTACATGTTTGTCCCAACTGATTTTTCCCATTGCATGCATGTTTTTGACAACACTGACAAGTGCATAGTGCAAAAAAATAAAAAGTTGTGAAAATGACTAATACACAGATTAGCAGACATCACATAATCAAGAAAAAATGACCATGTCCGGTGTCTGCCCGTGAAAACACTGAAAGCAACTGTAAACTAGTGTAATCATGTTCAAACCAACTGGATATCATTTTGATGAAAACTAGCAAATGAAGCCATTTCTCTCATAAATTTATAATAAAGTAAATGCAAACTATGTTAATGCAATTAACCAACAATAATAATCATGATACATTGAGTTTGTTCCATATCTCAAGTAAAATCATATAGAGAGATACTGTATACCAATTATATTAATCTAATGCTACACTGTTTTTCAAATACGTCTTTCACATTGAATGAACTTCATGTAGTATAGTCAGATAATATGTCTTGCATCTGATTATGAGTTTTGTGATGTTCAGCTTTACCTGTTGACCCACCCCATACCAGCCTCTTCCCAATCAGGTGTGTTGCTTTCTTTCCTAGGAACTGAGTCATCGTCTTCATTGCCTACCAGGCTGTTACGCCACTTGTTGTTCCCCATTCCAACCTGCAATTAATATATTGATGTTTGAGGCATAAGCTGTTCTTGTGCCTCAAATGAATTAAAAATAGAGCAAATATTTAGTTTCCATTAAGTATGAGATGGTAAGATCTTCAATCAGATATCTAGACTTGCTTAATATAGCAAGTTATACCTTGTTAGTGTCCGCAACAGCTAGCCATGGAAGGTGAGGTTCACGAGTTATACGAAAGATATGCATTATAACAGTGAAAATGGGGAAGAAAATGTTATGTTCAGACTTTTCCTAATATGAAACCCTGAACAGTTCACAGAAACTGAATGTGACAAGTCACTAAGTAACAAGTGCTTAACAAAAGTGATAGCCAAACCAGATGCAGTAATGTGCTAACTTTCCGAGTAAGGACCATTCAGTAGCTTCCCTAACCTTGCACATTTGACCTGTCAGAACAGCTACGTTAAACCTGACTCAGAGTGGGTCTGCCTTCTGGAAGACAAATATATTTGCAAATGGCTTTGTCCCAGCTATCAACTGGGTGGAGGGTTCAGTGGAAAGCATACCTCAATCCACTCTGAAACCTGGAGGCTCAAAACATGCCAAAAATTGATATGAAATAAAAAAACTGAACTACTACCAACTACTGTAGCTGCCACCAGGTGGCAGTGGCTCTATGCCTGACACTTATTGCAACTCGAATCCGTGTGGCATGTTGTTCTGTAGTGAGATGTTTTCAGTTTTAGAGCAAAGGGTCTTCCATGCTTTATGGTTCATTTCATCATGGCATAATACCCACTTGGTGTTCTTCTTTTTATCCAAATCTGCTTTGAATTTGTTTCAGGGCTTGCCTTACCTGGCATGAATAGAGAGGACCAACAGCCACCAGTGGTTCTCTTCCCTGAGGCAGCTCAGATGGCTTGTATCCTCTTGAGATGGGCCAGTGCCGTGGCTCAGCTTCCATTATATCCATTATTTTTCACCAGATTGGTAGATTTGAGCACACGGCCTCCATCGGGTGACCGTGTGCCCAACTTAAGTGTCGAGTATGCTACTCTGCCAGAGAAGTGTTAAGGTGATTTGTTTTTCTTTTTGTTTAAATAAACATTAGATTACATTCAACATTGACTTTTTCTTACCCCCAGTGGTCATCCCTGTTGCCTCCAACAATGTCTCTTGTCGGGTCAAAGGTCTAATTCACACAAAGGTATGTGATGTGCGTCAAAGGTAGACATGTGCCTTGGTTGAGCTTCTACCTCATATGGTGGCTTATGAGCACTATTAGTACTACAGTATCTGCTTAAAACTAAGTCTAACTTCACAAGCTAGCTCTTCTAATAGTTATCAAATAACCTAAGCCAAACAAATATGATCTCACAACATTTCAGCAGGCTTGATTCAAGAAACCCTGATTTGGTATTGTTCCCACCTGATGGCAGTTTGTGGGTAGTGACCTGGCAGTGGGAAAAATCACAATTTGGTGGACTCTTGATTCCAATTTGGATGTGGAACAACTTTAAACACATGTAAATGACCCATTCTGTAGACCATTCCAAGCTGTACTGAGAATTTTTATCGGTCCCCTCCTACACCAGTATGACTTGGAAGGTAAACTATAAATTATTTCTACTCTGCTGGTGTAGAATGTTGATCTGTCCTGACTGTCCATGATCCTGATATTTTCTTAGGAAGCGACTAAATAAAATAGCATCAGAAAATTCTCTACACTTTATCATTTCCCCCAATGGCAGTATAAAGAAGAATTTTCAAATAATTCTTCCAACCTTTGGGAATTATTGTTAACAGGCACTGTATGAGGTGGCAACTCACCATTTATTTCCTAGGAACTATGTAACTGGGTAAATATTTCGGTTAGAAAATAATTTTTTTTGGTTCATTTTAAGTATCATCTGCAATTCTATTAATTTACATTTTTTTAATTATTTCAAACACTTCTGGGAAGGTTAGACAGTCTCAAATTCAATAGGGTACCAGTCCACAAAGATTAATTTCATGTTAACCAAACCACACACTAGAAAGTGAAGGGACGACGATGTTTCGGTCCGTCCTGGACCATTCTCAAGTCACACAATCGACTTGAGAATGGTCCAGGACTGACCGAAATGTCATCGTCCCTTCACTTTCTAGTGTGTGGTTTGGTCAACATATTTCAGTCACATTATTGTGACTTCTCGTCTGCATTAATTTCATGCTTTGGTCAATAGTATTCATATGAATATTTATTATTTTAGGGAAGACTTTGCAAGTCTACCTCACACGTGGTGTGAAAATGCACTAAAGATAAGAATAAAATCTCTCACCTGTGTGTTAAGTAGAGGCAGGTCCCCACTAGATTTGCGGATGTGTAGATGAGATAATGGTCCCTCATCTTCATTGTAGGTGCCGTCAGTCATGCTACGCCAAGCTGGACTTTCGTATATGCCCTTGAAGTCATAGTCTGTAAACAATTGTTGAATTTATTATCCAACATTTTGTGTACAATATTAGCATTGTGCACATCAGATTCATTGAATACTGTACTCATGTATATCTTTTCATTTGAATGTCTATTGTATTCTAATAAATAATAATATACAAATTGCTACAGCAATTAAAATTCTTTACCGGTAATTATACAAAATTTGTGTACTGTATCTTCAATTGAATAATTGTATTAAACTCTGAAATAACTGTTCTTTCCTCGGATCATAAAACAAGTTGTACTGTAGTGTTGTTTTTTCTTGTACTGTAATACTGGAACCAAATTAAACATTATAAACAGGTCTATTGTTTGCAGGAAGGAACAATAGGTTTTGTATTTGCTTAATTGGTAAAATTTACATAAAACACACAATGCTCATTTGCAATGTGAATAAGTTAACACATAATGAAATCCAGCAAACCCTTTAAAAGTGCATTTTAATCATTACTAATACTGTATAAACATTATTAATGCATGTGTAATATTAGAAAAAATAGCTTGAATAATGAATGCAAACTGTCATAACAGAAATGACATTATGCTACAATTAATTCCATTCTTTGTAATTATCAATGACTGCCTGCAATTTCCCCCAAATGGAAGACACTTCGTCATTACTGGAGGATAAGAAACAAGTAAGTCAAAGCAATCTTATACAGAAATATATGCAATGTAGTTCACACAGCGTGAAAGAGTGATGAGTATTAAAAACATTAACTGGAAGGCGGTGCGGGTAATTGACGGGCTGCAAACTCTATAACCAGGCACTAGGACAGCTCAAAGCACTTTGCTCCCTGTTGCTGCGTACAGTTTCTACCTTGTCTAAAAACTGGAAAACAAGCCTCCCGAAATTCCCGAGCAGATGGACTAATTGTGAAAGCACAATCCCATGTGAAATTTTGATATATGTGAGGAAACAAAAACAAATGCAAAATCAAAGCACAAAGCATATTAGATAAACTATATAAAAAAAAGTTACTGTGATTTGAAGGTGCAGGGCAATGCCAAACTAGACGTGAAGGATTATTACAGACCATCACAGAAAGAAAATAAACTGAAAGCAGTGTAGCCATGCTGACAGAATGGCAGCATGAGATGGACCACACAGTCACCAGGCCGAAGAAAGCCACATGGGAAGGAAATATTTGGTGTAAGAATTGATACACCTAACCTTTCTTTTAGATTCCAGAAGAGGAAACAAAAATTGGGTTTTGACATTTGGCTGACGATCAGTTGTATGTGTGTGTGTGTGTATGTTAGACTATAATACAAAGTTAAAACATCCTTACAAGGAAGTAAAAAAATATACAAACACTTACAGTACATGAAAGTCATTCTTAAAAAGAATGACCTTTTAATCATGTATTAGATCTTACTGGTTGAGTTGAAGTTCATTGCGTAAGTTGGCAGCAAAACCTTCAAAATAAATAAAAAGGGGAAAAAAGTAACAACCTTAAGAGAAAAAATACAATCACAGCAAAAAAATAAAAAAAACTTACGTGAAACACTTACCACCCTGGCTCTCTAAACCTGGAAAATCAGCAGTGTTTCAAATGTTGCCTATGCTAATTTTAACATTATTTAGGTCTCGGGGCACACTTAGGAAACATATTTCTAACATTAAAGTTTAGGTTATAGCTGCTAAAACGGACAGACAAGGTAACAATAACTCCCATTACTTTGGCTCTCGTATTTATACTACAGCATACATTTAAAGCTAATATAACTTGAGGCTTGAAATATAGTTTACGAAATAAACCAATACGAATTGACATTTGGGTGGAAAGAATGCTTTTGTCCATGAGGCTACTGCCTTGGCCAGAACAGTAATAAATAACTTTTAAATTAAAGCCAGAACTGTACTTTATTTTCAGAGAAACTTCCCTGAAAGACGCTGGCAAAATCTGAACAGTGACAAATAATTTATACAGTATAGTGTTGAGCTCATCATTTTCACCTACTCTATATGAAATACAACTACTGTATGTATTCAACATATTTAGTGCTGTACAACACTAAGAGCAGAATGTGTTAAGTACCTAAGCACATAACTAAAGAAAACCCCTGATATCTTTATAAAAAATAATGATTAAAGTTTGTGAAATTTCTGAGTTTATAGCACTTGAAAAGAATCGCGAATTATTAGACTACATGAACAAAACCACTTCCTATGATTCACCTTCACATGCATACCCAGTTAGCCCCCCAATTTGTCCTGAAGTAACCATACCATACATGCGAATACAGATCAGCTGTGAATGCATATTTGTACAGTATTAATTGGTATTTGTTATCAATGGTTATTATTTGTAGCTGAGCTACAATATGGTGTTGAGAAATGCACTGCAAGTTAGCCCATAACTGAGAAGGATTGAATGATAAAAAAAACAGTTCCAATGGCTGTCCAAATTTTTACAACAAGCAAAATATGTGACAAAATACTGATCCTCTCCCTTCCTCACCCCTCCACCCCCCCCCATCCCCCCCAAAATGATGCCACTGATCATTCTTTGTGTATGTTCTAAATTCAGGAGTTATCAGTTTAGAAAATTAAGAAAATGTAAGTTTTCTTTTGTAAAACTAAAGTAGCATTATTCAATTAAACTGTATCATAAATACTAACTGCAACTGTTATTAAACCATTGATGGGCCACTCAGCAGCTTCCCACAGCTTTATCACCAAGGCTGAACGTGCCTTAGGGAATTCACCAGGCCTCAGAGACCCACTCAAGCTTACCTGAGGCGAGGGGAGCTTAGGGATCAGAAATCAACTCAAACTGAGAAAAACCCACCGATAAATATTTGGGCATGACAAGAAATTGCTTGAAGGAAATTAGCATTTCTACAGGAAACAAAATACACAAACAAGTTGATGCAGGGTTAACACTCTGGCCAGTGTGCCCAACTGCCACTTAATGACAACCCGGGTCACTCAGGGCTCTAGCCAGTCAACCACCTCATTCACAAACTGCCTGAACCCCCTCCAACACCCATTGAAAAGAATACAGTATAATAATGCAGGGACATGGAGTTACTAAGTAGCTCACCAAAAAATTGTTTTATTACATTCAATTCTTGATACCCTGGAGGGCCACTTCAGTAGCTCCCCATAGCTAACTCACAAAGGTGCTTCAGCATAAGAGGTTGGTATTTCTAAAAGGGACAAAACAGATTAACAAACCTGAAAAAACAGACTGGACTTCCTGCCATTAAAAGATGGCAGGAGAGGAAGGGCAGACAGAAGAATATTTGAAGAAAAGAATGGGGAAAAGCAGGGGACAGAAGGTCCCACACTGCCACCATTAAAGCTCCAGGCAGGGCAACCCCCAAAGGTGTCCCAGCCAGCCTTCCTGTCAGTACCTGCAGACTAAAGCTTGAGGCTGTTCAGGAGCCCATACAACAGAGAATAGTTGTTCATTCAGGCTGATAATCTGAATAAACTACAACCAGATGAACTGACCTCTCGACAACTGGAGCAGAGGCAGCATAAATTTGGCACAAGTGTCCAAAACAAGACACTCGACAATCTCTCCATGAAACGAAAGGTGATTGGCTTCCGGGACATCCAACTTAACCAGGGGCTACAGAAACCAGAAACCTGCAATGCAGCCACAGCCTGATAAGCCACCATCTGAGAAGACAATGCCAACGAATGACACACACAAGGGTAAAAGGACTCTTGAACCTAAAAACTGCACACAGCAGCCCCATGCATGGAGATGGACAAGAAAGCCATAACATTCCAGCCAAGCAAGTTGACCTGAAAGCCACCTTCCTCCCTGCTTACTCAGAGCAGGGTATACTGGCCACCTGGACCCTCAGCACACAAGCTTCTCAGCTGAACATAACCTCTTGGTGACAAAAGCAATATACAGCCAAGCACCAGAACAATCTCTTATGCGACCCAAGCAAAGGCCCTTGGTTAAAATGCAGGATCCTACCTACACAAGGAGAGCTCTGCATGATAGCGACACAAGCACACAGCTAACTTCTATCACTGCCTATCAACAGGATTTGAAGTGGTGAGCAGACCCATGTAATACTGTACCCAGAAGTGAGAAGAAAGATTCTGGAGTCATCAATACAATCAGGAGGAAACCCCAACTCTGCAGAGAAGATAACTATGGTGGGGCAATTGAGATGCAATCTGGTTTCCAAGGAAAGAAACCATTACACACAACCATTATTCAATTAAATAGAGAGCACATGGTGGTACAGAACACAAACATGATGCAGAAAATAGTACAAAAGATGAAGCATTGATTCCACATGAAACAAAACATTGGATAGCCAGCACCACTTATTGGAATGGGTGAAGTGGAATGTGGGCCCAGCAAAGAGGTGCATCCTAGGCGTTGTCAGCTGGCTAGGATCACAGGTAATCTGGGCTGCCACCTAGTGGTGGTCGGGTGCCTCATAGCTAGGGTTTTTACCCCATAGCCACCATTATTGACCTTGTTTTCCTTCCTTCAAGCAGACACTGGTTTTCATGTCCTAATACTTCATGGTGATTTTTTCTAGCTGTGGGTTGTTCTCTGATCCCCAAGCTCCCCGTCACCATGCAGAGAGAGCCACATTTTGGTCCTGGCTCCTGGTGAGCTTGAGTAATCCTCAGAGGCCTGGTGCTATTCTCTAAGGCTTGTTCACCCCAGTGCTTTAGCGATGGAGATGGAGAGGGACCCTCCCAGAAATCAAGCCCTATTACAGGTATTTTTGGCATATGTGCCTGTTAAACTAAATAACAACAAAAATTGTCTAGAAATTACATCTCACTAGAAATTACATCTTACTATTTTTTATTTAATTATCCAGATTTTCAGACATCCAAAGATAACAGTTAGACAGAATAATCGAGGTTGCATCATATGTTATGTTACAGGCATTGTGAAATACATGTTGAGTAGTTTGCATTGTGAATGAGTTTGTTGTTGCTCTTGCACATACATGAATTTGTTGATTAAATCAATGCTATACAT